CCATGAGTACATGGAAATGAAGAATACTTCAGCTGCCATCCAGGCCTACAGGTTGAACAACTTTAGTTGCTGTTGGACCTCTCTTACAGGTGTAGAGCTTTAAATATGCAGAGCTGGGTCTGTCTTCCAAAACATTCTCAGAGCTCCTAACTTAACCTGAAGGAGTTCAGGGTGAGTGAGTGATTAAGCTAGCTGCTCAGTGGGACTAAATAAGGAGAGAACTCAAACTTAGATCCTGTTTGTTTGACCGTCACACCCTGTCATAAAAAACATATGCGCTATGAATTACCATTGAAGAAATATTAAATGAGTACAGAGTTTAGATCATGATGACACTTAAGGCTGGTTCACACAGCAATAGTTTCACCACTGATAAAAAACAAACCTGGGATACAACAATTTTGGTCGTACAGTGTTCTCTGCAGCCACTCACAGGCGAACAGGCTTCTACAGAATCTTGTTTTTTTTTTTTTTTTTTTGTCATTACATTGTCTCAAGTACAGAGCAACGAAATTAACTCTGTATTTAACTCATCCCCTTAAGGGTTAATGGTCTTTGCTCAGGGAGCCAGAGTGCCAGTCCGTGAACACAGAACCTCAGGATTCCAAGCACAATACCCCCTAACCACTATTTCGCCACTCCCCAAAGCAGGCAGTAGCGTAAAGGGTCTTTCCTAAGGACCCACATTGGCAGCTCATCCCCCCGCTGGGATACGACCCCAGGCTTCCTGTTTGCAGGGCGGATGACTACCATTTGAGCTAGCCAGATCTTTCGAGCTAGTGGCTTTATTTGTTGTAATGAGTGGGAAGATATAGTAGTTATAGTAGGAATGTATTAAGCGAGGAAGTACATCTCCAAATTTAATCCATGCCATCTGATCACCAAGATTATGATCCCACCTTTAAATATTCTGGAATTGTTTAGAGCTGTGTTTTTCATCCCTGGTCCTCAAGGCACCCTGCTCTGCATGTTTTGGATGTTTCTGAGGTTCAGCAAACCTGATTCAGATGATTGCAGTTCAGCAAAGCTGGATAATCTGCTATCAATTGACAACAGGTGTGTGAAAGCTGGGAAACATCTAAAACATGCAGGACAGTGTGCCTTGAGGACCAGGTTTGAAAAACACAGGTTTAGAGCATACCAGCAGGCTTTCGCACTGGGAATCTCTAGCGACAGCTGCCCAAGTCGGTCAAACTTTTGGGGAGTTCTTGCAGCATTTCAGTGTCTGAAAATAAATATGTGGTTTTTGGTGGTGGTTAAAAACTACAAATTATTATCTTTAGATGGCAAAGATTGACATTTTAAGTCAGGGGTGGGTAATTCCAGTCCTTTTGCCCTGGTATTCTGTATTTTTTTAGATATTTCCCTGGTCATCCATGCCTGAATCAAGGAATTAGATGAAGAAGAGGACTCTGGTGAAATTGACAGCGTAATAAAGAGATAATTCCTCCATTTGATTTGATATGTTGGATCTAGGATTCATCTAAAATTTGTAGGATCCTGACCCTGAGGAACTGGCTGCCCTGCACCTGTTTTAAAGGAAAAGTCCGGTCAGCAAGGAATAATCAATGCATCAATATCTATACCTAAAACTAATACATTTGTGGTGATTTAATGAATTTAGCATTAATCAGTAAAAAAAAAAAACAATTTTTGTTGCGATCACTGGGTAAGGGACCTGCCATTTTTGCCCAAATATAGTAACACCTCACTCCTGACATCTGGCAGTGACGTCACTGTGAGGTAAGCTTAGCGCCATTCTCCCCGCTTTACAAGCGAAATCAATGGGAACTAATAGACACATCTGCAAACAACAACATTTATTGAAGATTTCAAGAGGACTTGCCTATTGAAATTTGCGAGAGCTATAGTTAAACTGACAATGCCCACGTGAAGGGCAGTTGGATGTTGTAATACTTCGGGTAAAAATGAAATAAAATTAGTTATTTCACCTTTCCAATTCATGATCCTCCGCTGACGGGTTCATCGTTGGATTGCCAACATGAAGAGGGAGGATTTACCATCAAACTTCTGGCCAGAGAAAAAAAACACGTAATATGTAGCCAACATTTCAAAGAAGAATCTTTTCAAGATGACTTGGATAATAGCGCATAGTGACAAACACAAGATACAGCAATGGGACTTGCTTAACAGCCCATACTGCACCATGATGTCACAAACCGGTAGGTGGCAGTAGTGCTCTTTGACAAACACGGGCAAACATTTCATTCGAAAGCACATTCAAATGAAAATAACTCTTAATTAAAACACTTATCATTTATTGAACAGTATGTAATAATTTCATATTTGAAGTACCTTTAGAAGTTTGAATTCTGAATGTGACCGGACTTCTCCTTTAAGTTAATGTATGTATGAATTTTTCATTGTTTAATTGTGAAGTAGAGATCAGGGCTTGGATGCAGTTTTTTCCAGCCAGCTTCTGGATCAGCTCGTGATTTTTAGCTATACTGAGGCTGATGCACTATCAACAAAGAAAGATTTAAGAAGATTAGATATATTAACTCTGGATTAACAAAACCTTAAGTTTCATGTTAGATCAGTTTCATCCTTTACACGCACTTCAGTTATTTTTACAATTTCAAAAACTGCCTATAATGCCAAGATGATCCTGAAATTAATCTAAAAAAATAAAAATTAATTATGACACTACAAGAAGCCAAGCATCTAATTCGATGGATGGAAAAAAGAGGATTAATTACAGTAAGCTAGTTAAATATTAATTTAGAATACAATTTAGGGATTTCTTGGGTAGAAAATAGTTTAAACTATCTCCGATGAGGTGAAAGAAATAAAATCCTAAAGCTGGACAAAACATGCTGCCGCTGCTGTTTTTCAGCCACATATATTTTATGAGGTGGAGAGTGCAGAGATGGATCTAAGATGGATAGCAGAGCAGAGTTTCTCAGAGTATAACGCATGTCTCACACCTATGCCACCACAGAATAATTATCTTTATTCTTGCTTCAATGTCAACTTTGCTTTGCAACAACTCTAAATAGTGTCTGTGCCACTCTTACAGGGATAAGGTTGATATTTTCTCCACAGTAATATTGAGTAATTCTTGAAGTTTTACCCCCCCCTGTTGAGGTGGGGGATCAGCTCTGTTTCTGCCATCTTTCCTGCTTGAGACTTAGGATTCCTTAAAAGTCCTCCTCACTACTCTTTAAAAAAAAATAAAATAAATAGTTTTACTTAAAGTTTACTGCTAGGGCCCTAACTTTTTTTTTTCTCTCCTCCCCTAGGCATGCAATTGAAGTGAACAAGCGGGATTATCGTGCCTGGTATGGATTAGGTCAGACATATGAGATCCTCAAGATGCCCTTTTACTGTTTGTATTATTACCGGAAGGCTCACCAGCTCAGGTTTGGATAAAAATCCTTAAAGGGTTGACATTTTCAGACACGTTAAACTCTGCCTCACTGATTTGTTTTTGTTGTTGTTTAGACCCAGCGACTCACGCATGTTGGTTGCACTGGGTGAAAGCTACGAAAAACTATCACAGCAAGTTGAAGCCAAGAAGGTAGACATTTTTTTATCAGCAACTCTTTTAAAATATTTTTTTTGTGTGTTTGAGAGAAATGCCTTCTTCTTCTGTGCAGTGCTACTGGAGGGCTTATTCTGTCGGCGATGTAGAAAAAATGGCTCTACTCAAACTGGCAAAGTAAGCTTTTTTTTTCAACTTTTTGTTTAAAGGCAAACCTATAGCAGCTGATGTTTTAGTTAAGCTGCCTAATTAAAAAAATTCTGGAAATAAAAAGATGGATAACTATAAAACATTATTCCCTTTTCCATTTTTATATTGTTGCATCCATTTCTATGCTCCCTCACAGACTTGGTTGATGCAAGGCCTCAATATAAAGGCTAATTATTTCCAACTTACTTTTAATAACAGGTTACTGTATTTATACTAGGGTAGGGCAATTAATTAGATATGCAATTTAACAAAACACAATTTTCAGATCACAGAGGCACTCCATTTTGGTCACATTACAATTTAGTAGAGTAAGATATTAGGTGATGGTAATATGCTTAAAGGTGGGTTTGTTACTACACACAAAAGGTGAGAAGGTGATGTACCAATCCCAGTTTAGGTGACTTGAAGGTGATTTTCCAGCTTTTTTTCCCACCAGTGTAATATGTGGTCCCTCCACAGGCTCCATGAGCAGCTGAACGAGTCAGACGATGCTGCTCAGTGTTACATGCTTTACATTCAAGACATTTTCTCATGTGGTGTAAGTATTTTCTCCAAACGGAATATTACTGGTAAGCTTCGAAAAGGGAACATCTGTACTTTGAGCTGCTTTAAGCTTTGACTTCTTGCAAGCTGTTTTGTACTGTTTAGGATTAGAACTAATTCGAAATCTTATTTTTCTTATCTTTTGATGTTTTATTTTTGAATGAGCCGTGTGTATTTTTTCCTATCAGGAACAACCGGAGCATGCGGAGGTGAGCACAGCTCTGCGGTATCTGGGTCAGTATTATTTCAAAAACAAGCTCTATGACGAGGCGGCCCTTTGTGCTCAGCGCTGCTGCGACTTCAATGTGAGTGTTCTAGCAGTCAATGATCGGTCTGTCGTAAAGTCCATAATTACACTGAGTTTTTGTTTGATTGCTCTGTAGGCACGGGAAGAAGGGAAGGCTCTGCTGAGGCAGATCTCGCAGGTCAGAGATCAAATCGAGACGCCTTCAGCTGATCCGTTTGGTACCCTCTCCAACAACAACACACCAGTCAGGAGGGTGTCTCCTCTGAACCTTATCTCCTTTACGCCATGATTTTCACAGTAATTAAAATGGACAATGTAAAGACATCAAAAATATTTTCTCTTTTTGACTTGATTGTCACTTTATGTATTTGCAGAAAAAAAAAATCTGTTAATTTGATAGAATAAAAACACCAGAACGCATCTTTGAAATGCCAAAGAATATTCATTTTTATTTTGAACAAGAAAATTCCTCAAAATGAAGAAACAAAGCTTGAAACTTTTGGCATGCAGACACAATGATAAAGACAAGACAGAATAGTTTTATAAAATTATTCTAAATATATTTAGACAACACAGAAAAAAAGCCGGAAGTAAATGGTTCAATTGTAGCTGTGAGTTTTTCCTTTGCAATTAGATGCAGCTTAAATGGATACACTGGTGCCATCATGCAAACACAAACGTGCACACTTCTGACCTTACAGTCCTTGAGTCATGAGAGAAAATTTTAAGAATTGATTATTTTACTGGCATCAAGTGTAAAACCACTGCACTTCAAAGTGGATAAAAGGAAAAACAAAAATATAAAGATACCCAGCAATTAGTCCTTACGTAACACCAGAAAGCTTAATTGCAGGCTTTTGAAAGCTCAGTATTTTCCTCTGATGTTGCGTGGGGTGCGGAAGGGGCTGGGAGGTGGGGAAGGCTGGCGAGAACGCAAGATTCTTGAATACGGAGTCAAGCTTTCTTCATCAGCCATACGAGTGTTGCATTTACGGGTCGGGGTACGCGTCGGGAACATGGACTGGAAAAAGTGACGTTTCTGTGGCGGATGGTTTTCGGCTTCGCTCGTCGTGGCCGCGCAGCCCCTCTTTTTGCAGGAGCCTGAAGTAGAGGGCACAGCAAAACTCTGCGGCGGCTGGGAGCGCCCTGCTAGCATCTCTGCTTTCTGTCGTAAGTCTGCTTTGACCAGCGTAAGGTCATTCTGAAGCTCCATCAGGATCTGGTTCTGAGAAGAAGTCAGTGGAGAGAGGGTTAGACAGGACCACAGAGGGAGAGGAGGAGGATGAAGCTGGCAATGATTAGATGATAAAAGTGCAACATGCTCCAGCCCAGTTATCACCTGGTGAGGATGTTAGAATCCTAATTTCAGTTTAAAAGCTGGTTTGCAACCAGTGTTAGAAAGCAAAGGGAGAAAAAAGAATATTTCAAAATGAGAAAGGAAACAAACTGTTTTCATCATAATCAGAACATAAAATGAAATTTCACAATTCAATAAAAAAAAGAAAAAGATTACATTACAGATTTCAAGTGTTAAATATGTTTGATTCTAGATCAGCTAATAGATAATAAGAGAGGGCCCCAAATTAGGATTGACTACAAAAACTGTATTACATGGTAATAAATATCAGTAACTGATTCTTCTGTATTGAAAATAATTATAGGTCTTACACAAAATTCTACTTTAAGGGAAGTATTTTGTATTATTAGCTGTAAGCAATTATCCTCCAAACAAAGAAATAAATGCATCTCTCTGTATCTCCTAATATGAAAATATGACTTCAGGATATAATGATTGAAATAAGCTTTGAAATGAAATAAGCTTTTTCCATGTATGATATGGTAGAATTGTCTCTAAAAAGCCTTGAGATGACACTTTTTTTGAATTTGTGCTATATAAGTAAACTGAATTGAAAGCCTTATTCACCAATATGTATCTGTAGTTACACTAATATAGATTGGGTTAATTTTCGAAGATCTTTTACAGTGTGCCTACTTACCTGTTTGGCTAGTGTCTCATCCGCAGCTGTAAGTGTCTGGCGCAGCCTCTCTGCTCCTGTATTGCGGCAACAAGCTCTTTCACTAGACTGCAGGTCCACTCCCAGCTTCTGGAGATCCTGGCGCAGCTGCCGCAGGTTCTGTTGGGAGGGGGAAGCGTATTCTTAGTGCCTTTTAGAGGGAAGACTATCATAAAAAAAAAAGTATTTGTAGCGGTGCCCAAGTTACTGACCCGCTGACCCTCCTGCAGCTTGCGATCAGCTGAGGTGGTGAGGACGCCGGCTGAACCCGGTACCTCCAGCTTCATCCTCAGCATTTCCATCTCTGCACAGGCAAACAGAATGTCTTAATAGTATACTAACACCAACACGACTTAAACATCACTGAGGTCAGACTATACCCTGGGTCTTGGTAAGAAGCTCAGCGCGACACTGGTCCAGCTCACTGCGCAGTCTGCCCACTTCTGCCTGAACCGAAAGGCGGAGAGAACGCCGCGGCTCCTCAGAGTCTACACCTGGGGCCGTTATGGGCCGGACATCTTCCTTCTTTCTCTTTTCTTCAAGAGCAGCACTCAGTTCTTCAATCTCCTGATCACGTTCCTACGAGGCGATCAATTTAATGGATCAAAACGTTTCCTAACAGTCTATAGACCTAATCCACAAGCTTTAAATTCTATAAAGCATTTATTTTCTGTAAAACCATTAAAATCACTGAAAGCCAACCAAATCTTACCTTCAGCTGCTGGTTGTAGTATTTCTTTAGATGTTTCTCCAGAATACTTAGTTTGTTCTCATAATTCTGCTCAATCAGACCCTTCTCAACCTCTAAGGTCTCCCTGTTGGATAGAAGATGTTGCACTTATCACCACATTCCAGCACAGCATGTGATACCTTCATGTACCTCTTTAATATCAAGCAGATTTTCTTCATCTTAATGTAACACAGAATTAACCATTAAAGTTAACCTATAGCTTTAAGCAGAAAAAGTAAAATTCAATGAGGTAAATGTCAATTGAAGGATGTCAATCCCTGTCAATTTCTTGACAGGGATTGACGATGCATTAAAAAATGCTGAAAATTGAAAGTTGGGTCACAACTTTGCTATCAAGGTTGGTGTGACCACTTTATCCAATCTTTCATTTTGACCCCTGTGGTGTGATTGTTTAGATTCAAACTAAAAAGATAAAGACAAAGCATACATACGCAAAGTCCTCTTTCATTTTTGTGATGACTTCCATCATTTCTGAGTGGACCTCCAGTCTCACTTTAGCTTCCAGGGCTTTTTTTTCCTCCCGCTCACGCCAAACACCTTTCCTCAGGACCTCGATGGCTCGCAGTAGAGACTAAACGACACAAAGTTACCTGGTAGATTAATGGAAACTCTTTGGCCTTTAGATATTAGAGGCAGTTTTCACATCACACATTTCAATTACCTTAAAATTCAACATAAAACTGTAATTAAACTTCAGTTTTTGGGACTAAGCTCAGCTCTTGGCTTTGCTAAACAGATAAATATCATCTTATTTAAGAATAAAAAACAATGGCCGACATTACATCTACATCCAATTGGGTGATATCTCCATCTTCGACATCACTTTCATCTTCCTCCTCCTCCTCTATGAGGGTGCTCTCATTGCCGTTTGCCACAGGCTCTCGGAGCAGGGACAGGATGTAGGCCACTCTGGTCTTTGTGGACGGTCCATGGACAAGCTGAAATTAAACCAGGTTAAGTCGATGAAGATTTCTCTTAACATGTTACAGAAAATGCAGCTGGCATTTAAAATGTCAGATGTTTAAGCATTAGGTTGATGAAAACACACTACTTTTGAAACCAACCAACTTTGCACCATAACTAAGAACTTCCACACCAAAGAGTGTTATCACCTGTGTAGCTATAGCAGAGAATTTGAGGGCCTGAAGGGTCTCGTCGTAGATTGAGGCGCATGGATTGATGTTGACCACCATGCAGGAGGTCCCTCTGCCACAGAAGAAGCCCTGTAGGACACGGGTCAGTTTGCTGTCCCTGAAGGGCACCACCTGAGGTGGTCTTGACCTGTCAAGGAATTTCAGATAATCATCTTAGTCAAAAACCCAATTGATCATTTTATCCCTCATATTTAGCCTTCCTCACGCACTTGTTGTTCTGGTTGTGTCTCAAAGCGGCGATGCAGCGCCCCAGAGTCATGAGGGAGGTGTTGATGTTGCTGGCCTCCTTCATCCTCTCACCGATTCGCTGCTCTTTACAGCGCTCAGACCCAGCTAGATCACATACTGCCAATCTACAAACAATACACAATACAACTTTTAGATTCACTACTACAAGCTATATTAAAAAACAAAATGGGTGAAAACGTACTCGCTGATGTGCATGGCCTGGCCTAAACTGGCTTCAGGGTGAACATGAAGAACACGGATGGAGAAGATGCTGTGGCTAAATAAGAAATAGAGATTGACAAGAAAAAAACCCATCAAGTACAATTCAAATAAAACAGTGAAGCTCAGTCTAAAGAAAGTTTTAAGAAAGAAAGGGGCGGCATGCTCCAACCTCCTGCTGGAGTTTTGGTTTAGATGAGTGCTGGCGAAGCTCTGGTTACGACGCCCAGCCTTCAGGATCCTCCACGCCTCCTCAGCACTGCGAATCTGGATCCAAGTCAGATCTATGACACAAAAAGGAGAAAGATCCCTTAAACCAGAACAGTGGAGCTAAAACACAGAACAAAAACTGTTAGAAGGCTTAAATCTAACACATTGTAATACATTAACTAAAAACATCCACTAAAGTTATTCTTCCAAAGAAGTCAGAATGACCTTTGACGTAGGGGTTTCCCTGCTTGTCATCACTGAGTCGCAGAGTTACCCTTTTTCGGGGTTGCTGGGAGGGTGAAGCATCCAGAAGGTCATACAGAAACTCATTGTAGATCTCATAGAAGGAGACCCAGATGGAAAACTGCACCCCTTCTTCCAAATCGCCGCCTCCACTGAGAGAAAGGCTGTCGGGATCCAGGCACACGCTGTCCGTTTCTGTAGATAGAGAGGGAGTATCCACCAGTTATGTTTTTTTAATAGCTGATTTTGCAAGGAAGCAAACAACATAGCTTAGGGTTTTATTATTTCATACAAACTCCATATGTGTTTATCTTTAAACAATAAACTACCTAAATATTTGATAAAAAACAAAAAAAAAAAACAACAACTTCAAAGAGACAGATTTCTGAGTTTTTGTCTGACCTTCCAGCTGAGTGGCGGTGTGACTGATGGAAGACAGTCCTCCAATGCCGCTGTCCCAGATGGTAGTGTTACCATCTCGGCGAGTGGTTTGAAATTCGTCCTGTAACAAATCACAACGGGTAATTAATTTTAATACCTGCCTAACCATTTCTTTCATTACAAAAGCTTTAAAAATCCCCAGAAATCTAGAAAATTACAACTTAAGTCATGATTTTAAGTTTCAGATCAGAAAAAGACATGAGCTTTTAACTAGGTTAATAGGCTACTCCATCAAAATTATACAAGGTGGCATTTTACTTAACTACTACTTAACAGGAGTGGCAGGCGAGATACCTTACCGACCAGTTCCAAAGGACACCCAAACCAACTACGAAGGTAAGAGAAGGAAAACAACCTGAAGGCCCAAGAGGCCGGTTGGAATAAGGGCAAAATTAGAAGGACCACATGGTAACGAACGGAATGGACTCAGGCAACGATTCTAGGATTATGAGAAGATGCATGGGAGAAGTTAACCGCCTTCAGAGGTCTAAGGATCCACTAGGGGGAGAAAGGATGTAAAGCAGGGGGCCCGAAGCAACATTGCACTGCAACCACAGGACAGACAAAAGGAACCCAGATCCAGGGAGCTAACCACAGTGCTGGGGGCTCCAACATTGCAGATGGAGGGCTGGCTTCAAGTTCAAGAGTGCCTGTGGCAGGGAGGGCAGCAACGGCCAAAAGTAACGGGGAAAAAAAACCTGGGAGCAGCTGTATAAGTACCTCAGCATCCTGCTACTTTACTCTCTGCACAAAAGCTAGAAATCACAAAGCAATCGGGGAATTTGCAGATGAGGCAGAGAAGGGTAGTTTCTGGCTATGGCTAAGGAGGAGAGATAGGGTGGGGGCCTAACACCTAGGGCATCAGCAAGGGGTTGGTAGGGAGAGTTCCCTGCCATCGCTCCACCACCAAGAGTACTGGGGGTTAAACGAGCGGAAGACCCATGACTGGTGGTCCCCAGTTGATGACCCGCTAAAGCCCAGGAGTGTACAAGGCACACTTGTTCAAGGCACTGGTGGAGATGCCTCAGGCAGCAATGCCCAGCAAGTAGAACATTAACCTCCATTTTTAATTCAATTACATGTCTGAGTAATCTGCCCGAGTTTTACTGTCACAGCAGCAGCACCTTCCTGTCCAGTGAAAAAGAGCACCTGGATGACAGCAATGCAAGAACTTCAAATCCAGGAGGCACCTATGTTGAGCGGACTGTAGAAACCCACTTTCTCTGATCAGCGAGTGGTGGTTGGACAGACGGCGTTGATTCCAGCTCCAAGTTAAGATGAATAAATGGCTCTTTTAGTAGAATCTTCGTTTTAAGAAGTCTATGTATTTTTAGTGGTCCAGAGTTCTCAGACTTTGCTAAGCCTACAGATGTGATGTGATGCGGCAACAACACGAAACAAGTGACACGATGGTTGGAAGAAAAGAAGCTATATTTCATGACAGAATAAATCCCACATAGTGCTATAGGCATCATTTTATCATAAAGCTTCCTATAGGGGACATAATAAGGGCAGAATAATATACGACTTTTAAGCATATTTGTTCAACAGGATAAAGGCAACAGTTGTTTTTTTATTTTTACAAATTCAAGTAAAAAGAGGCAAAAGTATCTAGATCAAAATATAAATCCCAGGAACAAAATACCTCAATAAAATACATTTTGGCAAGCTGTAAACATATTTTCACTGGAACTGTATTCATTGTTGGAAGGTTTAAGACCGTTTTATGATCAATTGTTACAAACATATCTTACCTCTTTGAGTAGGGAGTTCCGCCGGATTTCCTCTGCCTTGATCTCACCGGTGTCCAGCTGCCTCACATCCTGATACATGACCGGCTTCAGGTCCATAGCACCATAGAGACGACCCTGCAGTTTCCTGAACAGAGACACCAAAGCTCGCGGCAACAGGCCAGCCTCTCGACTGTTTCCTGAAGAGAAAGCATTTCAGTTTGAAGCTCTGAATTTAAGTAATTTGACTGATTAGTCAATCAGCACATTTACATTAGAGAGCTCGTGTACCTTGAACTGTGTAAGTCTTTCCAGAGTTAGTGACGCCATAAGTGTAGAGGAGCCTGTTTTCTCCCCTAAGAACGTCATTCACCATCCTCTTCATTGTTCCCTCATAGAACTGTTGCTGAGTTGTTTCTGGACCAAATATCTATGAAGGGAAATGGATAGAATTAATATTAAGATCAGCCAGTTTTTAAATAACAGAATGTTAATCAAAAGAGTGCAGTCTCTATCCACATCTTAGTTATTAAAGAGGTCATAAAATGCAAACCCAGTTTACATTGTTATAGATGAATAACAATAGTTCAGTGGGTGAAATTGACGTACAGAGAACTTCGAACCCCATCGACACCTCATTTCTCTGGAAATGAGGTGTCGGCCTGTACTTTTGTCACACCCCGATATTGATATACAGACCAGCCCACTGGTTCACTGGACCAAGAACATGAATAATGGTCATGAAGATGTAAGTCTTCTTTTTTAAAGCCAAAATAATGCCACAGAAGTGACGTACTGTTCCTCTTTGGTACCAGACCTTCAGTTGTTTCAGTTTTTGTCCAGTTTGAGGCCATTGTTCAGCAGGTTAGTTGTGGACGATATAGAGTTTCCCTGTGTGTTACTTTGCTAGCGCGTCACCCCCATCACGTGAGCCGTGAAAGCTCGTCCTTTGCGGTTAGAAAATGTAGTTTTATCCTATCGCGATATTGTTGCAAATGCAATTAATAGTTCAGGCATATTGTAAACCAACCAATCAGAGCACAGATCAACTTAATATTCACGAGCATACCATAACAGGAAGAAAACCTGTCGTTTTATTCTAGGGCTTTTAACCAGGCTTACATTAGGGATCATAAAACAGCAAATATGCCAATTTCAGCCCAAACAATGTTACACATCCTATTCAGAGCCCTTAAGGCCCAGCACCAAATACCCTATATAATCGTTCTATGACCCATTTAAGAGAAACAGGCAACACTGTGATTCTCCTACCTTTGAGAAACTGAACTTGTGAACGTTCGGGGTGATGCCTCTCTCTGCTGCCCTCATGTTCTGAGAGTCAGTTGGTGCTTTGAGCAGCAATGTCTCTTCGTCCTGGATAGCCACACATCCCTAGAAAAAAGTGGAAAAAAAAGTTTTTTTTTTGTTAGAAAAAAGTAAAAAAAAAAAATCTGACAATAATAGCTACAAACATTAGATTGTCCTACCTGCTCCTCTCCTTTTTCTGAGTCAGTGAGTGGGCGAATGCGCAGAAAAACTTTCACCTTTTCAGAGGTCCTCTCATCAGGGCTGCCAGGTTTCACAGCAACTTTCTATAGAGAATAAAAGATAATAGGCTTTCCTAAACTAATACTTTATTTTAGTTACCTTAATTCCATAAAAAATTAGTTTAGATGAAATAAAGATACAAACATGTAAAATGAAGTTTTTCTTTAACATTTTACTGACACAAATTAGGGACAGTGTGTGACAAATATTCTGCCAAAGAATAATAGCATCACATCAAAACGAAAGCGATGTCATAGCTTAGAATTAGAAGTTTATTAATACCCGATGAGAGATGCCATGTTAAGTCGCCATTTTTAATTAGAGTAGCTGAAAGGGGACAAAATGTTTTATCCTTATGCATTTTTACCTGTATCATGTTGTCAATGGCAGAGGATTTTAAAACAAGCAAAAATAACTGTAGAGGATTCTACCTTCCACTTTCTATTGCAATGGAGGGCCATCCAAACCAAAAAGAAAGAAAAATGTAATAACTTAGAGAAAACAAGAATCTACATTGGTGCAGCTTTCATCCAATGGAGATCCTTTATGAGTCAGAAGGGCGACAAAAGTTGCAGGCTTTCTGCAGGACAGGTAAAGTAATTTAATAAAAGGTACCATTCTGTCTTTTCTTATTTACCAGACCACTAGTGCCCCAGTAGATGGATGTAAATCTTACACAGTGTCCCTTTTTATATCAATAAGAGTGTGACAAGAAGGAAAAAACAAAAACATGCTTTTGTGGAGTCTCACCGTCTGTGTGATGGTTGGCCTGGTTTCAAGCCCAGGAGAAATGACAGAGATCTCAGTTAGACGTGGCCTTGCCATGCCTCCATGCTCTGCTGCTGTGGACTCAAACACAGCCATTTCCTCCTCACCATCTGAGTAACCTCCATATGGGGAAGACAAGCACTGAGCCATGCTTTCCTGTAGCTGCAAATAGTCATGAATTTGTTTGGGATGAGAGCTGGGATGTGAAAATACATGATCCTCTACATTTGCATGATGACTAATGCCAAACCCTTTTTTTTATTCATTGTATTAAGGCAGATTTATTGACCTAAGAGAACATGCTCTAATCAGGATGCATCTTGTTGGAAAAACATTCTAAGCTCCTGATGTAAAGTGAGAGCAGAAAATGGAAAACAGGCTAAACTAGTTTTTTTTCCTCCAAAAAACAAATAAAACCCGTCTACTTAATAATCTTTTAACTCACAATCCTAGACGTATTCTAAATTATACAAAACAGATTAGCCGACATTTCACATCTCTTTCGTTTGCTTTAAGATGTGTTTAGATTTAATAGAAGATTGCTTTTTTTTTTTTTATTCAAATGCGGTGCCGAAGCTGTAGCGGCATCTAGCGGCAGGAGAGTGTACTGCATAGCAGAACTTTTTCCCTCCTCGCCTTTGTAAATGTTTTAAGGTTATTACCATTAGTGACATGAACACAATGATAGTTATAAAGGTCGGGTAAGGGAGACCTCCTGCAAAGTGTTAATAATACATTTTCTTTATTGTGCTATGCTAGGATAAACAGTAACCCGCGAGCCTCAAGATGTGTTTAACCGTGTATTTTATGTTCCGCAAATTGTTGAAACAACAGGTTCATTACGCTGGACATTTAAATACACTTGAAAATATACATATATATATGTTACTTTAGTTACTGGAAACTATTTACATCAAAGTGGCACATATATCTAAAAGCTATTTCTCCGAGGTGACATATGAATTCGTATTAAACAAATGACCCACCTTTAAAGCAAAGGTCTCCGATTAATTTCCAGAATTTCCTTTCAATTTCTTCAATAGTTTATATAAAAACAATAAAACGGTTCGATTTAGGAACAGTCCGTTTCTCTATAAAGCCCAGGCTCCCTGTCCTCGCCAGCGGACTGGTTCTAACTGAAACCGTTTAGTTTTTGAACTGTGCGTTTCCGCAGCTTAGCGACTCTCTGATTGGCTGACGGCTTTCTTCTTCTTCTTCTCTTTCTTTATTAACGTATAGAAATACCTTCGTGGTACATACCGCCCCCTACCGTACAAGAATATGTAACGGCTGCGTTGTTTTCAGTTGAGTATTGTGTAAATATGTAAATAATGACCTACCTGTAATCTCATAATTATCACGTCTTCTGTTCTATTTTGGCCTCTTAAGTTCTTCATTACTATTTTTATTTAAGTCCCTTTCCATTTCTTATCTTCATTCCACATTTTCTGCTAGACTTATAACTGTTTCCTTTTCATTATTGTTTTAGCAATACATTTCCCCCAAAAAATATGTAACGTTATTCCCTTCCCTCAAGCCTTTTAAGCCAGTCATGAGCTGGTTATGCACCTATCAAAAACTTTGTAGCCATACCACCCTTGTGCAGTTCTAAACAAACTATGATGAATTTCTGGTATACGGTCCTTCCTATAGTTTCCTGTAGACTGATTACTTTACATGACTGCCTTTAAATGTGTGCACACATCCACCTTATTCAGTCTGACCTCTTCCACCCTCAGCAAACTAATAATGACTGCCACAATGTTTGCTGTTAAAACAGATAAATTATCTTTTAGTCATTCTGGTAAATCTCTAAGTAACTGTAATAACTATGTCTAATATATACACTTAACTTCACCCCTATTTCATTTAGTTTCCATTCTTTCATTATTTAAAAGACTCACATCTTTTTTAATTTATAATATAGGAATTGCATTAACTGGATTACTATCGGAGAATATTTTATTTAGAATCAGAATTTATTTATTAGTGTCTTGTGTGAAATGATTTTCTTGCAATGCAACGATTTACAGAAGAGAGGAAAATATGATTAGATAGGAATCAAGTCCACATTTTCTAAGAGGTTTATTTAAAGACACTCACCTCCGAAAAACCATAGTAACATTTTCACTAAAGATTGTATACCGGTATGTTGAATGATTTTTAAGGGTAACCTCTTAGGATTGGGATGATGATGAATTGGGCAAATTATGAATGAACCAAAACAATTCAATGACAGGTTGTGTTTATATTAAAAAAACAAACAAACAAAAAAAAAACTTTTTTTCTAGAACTTAAATTACATAATTTATTTAAAAGAGGGTTTCTAAAAAAACAATTACATACACCCTTATAACATTCACACATATCATCAGCATGTTTCCTAAATTAACACAGTTACTTGGAGCTACATCAAGGAGTTACATTGAATTTCCTTTAACTAGAAAACCTTTACTCCATTGTTGTGGTGATTGTTTCAAAACTGACGCTGTTCTGTGAGTTCTCCATCCTTTTTTTCTGCACGCTGTGCTGAGCTCCATAACAAAAGTAGATTATTAAACCTGTTAGAAAAAGTTACATCATCTATGATTATGCGTTGTGAGAGGATCTTAACATTAAATTTTTTCTTCTGTATTAAGATACAAACTTATCATACCTACTGCCATCCAAACTGCATAACGAATCCAGGTGTCTGACTCAAGCTGAACCATGAGATAGACATTCACAAAAGTGCTAAAAGCAGGGAGCCAAGGCACAAAAGGAACCTACAGACACACAGAAAAACAAGCTTTATAGGAACTGCTAGAATCTGCAATGATACAAATTTTACAAAGTAAACAGTTGATGCGATCTTTCAGTTATTGAAAACACAAAACATATATTGTAAACATCCATCATTAAAAAGATTGGCATACCATGAAAGCAGCTTTGGCCATACTCCGTGGCTGTCTCCACATGAGCAGTATAATAATGAAGAGTATCAGCACAAACACAGAGGCACAAATTAAAGTCCACCACTGAAGTCTCTGCAGGGAGTCTATTCCCTCAGATATCAAGATGCTCAGGACTACAGTTACTAAAACTGGGAAAAAGCAGCAATGGAAGATGAGTCAATCATTAATATTGAACAGAACCTATGTAAAATATGTACAGTAGACGCAAAAAACATTATTACCAATGGCAACAGTTAAAATGGTAATATTCTTTGATGTCCGTGGGGTTGCTTGGGAGGGAGGACACAGCACACCTCCTATTGTGAATGGCTCAGCCTTGCCTAAACTTGAATCTTCACTGAGCTCAGGTTGGTACCTGTATTCATAAAAATCCAAATAAGGTGGGGATGTTCCAATTAGATTTTCAGCTCTCACAAACAAACCGCTTTGTTTCGGTTCATGAAATCAACCCCTATAATATTCAGGTTTAAAGGGGCCTCGTCATGATTTCATGAATGTCTATGCTAGAGGCTCACCTTGACTTTGATACAAGGGCTTTCCTATATAGACTAGCACTGGTCAATCTGCAACACTCAGAAATTGGACAATTTTCAAATTAACGGCCACTAGCGGCAACCAGCCATAATGAATACAATCCATTTGAATCACTGTATTTTTTGATGAGTTTCTCTCTAAGCGGACAAGCATCTTTCTCCTCCGCTTGGTCCATGTTTGTTTTGGTCAGAGTGCACAAAAAACAGGCAGCACCCCTGAGTTCTATTGCACGGCCGCAAACTCTATGCAGTTTCAACAATCATCTTGCGGATGAAGACCCTAAGCTAAACTACATGTCTGCTGTATGGAAGTTTTCCAATACCTTACTTCTATGACTAAGTTTGGGGTCCTGCTCTCCTGTGTTGGGGACAAATCAACAGAGGGAAGGTGAGACACCACTAGAGAGAGCACTAGAATCGGGATGAAGTGGGCAGCCACGCCCCTCTCTGGAGCTAAGGAACCACAGTGGTAGATTGGGGTAGCACAGCAGTATAGGCAGAAGACCATTTGGCAGACACCAGAGCAGGGAGAGATTGAGGCTTTCTGGAGCTGATACAGGTTGAAGGAGGAAAGGGGTGCAGTGGAGCAGCTTTGCAGACAATCACAGATCTGCAGAGGCGGCGGCTGTCCGGAGTCTGCCCTGGAGGTAGGATAATGAAACTGTCCCTCTAATGCTAAATCAAAACAGCTTTTTTTTAATGCACCCACAAACCTGTTGTCAAAATTATTTTCCCGAAGTTCCTTTTTGTTTTAATAAAACCTTGTCTCTGCTAATTTGTAATAGAGGCAAGCAATTTTAGCAGGGGCGTGCTAACAAAGAAGACTAGTCCTAGATCAAGTGTAAGAAAGCAAAAAAAAAAAAATGGTGCAAAGAGGAAATAGATGAGTAGAGCTTGGAATACCATAGGAACATTCGAGTAAACTAAAGGTCGAGATAAAATTTCAGGAGCTGCTTATAAGACAGAGGGTTGCATTAGTCGGTACTCCCAGCTGATGGCAACATCAGACAACAATGCTGTATGCTGCTGATTGTACCCTAATGATTGCACCAATTGCAAAAACTCTTTTAGATTGAAAAAGAACACAGTAAACAGTATAAGGACAAGCTCTGTATATTTTGGTGTATTTTAACATTCACTTAGACTTTTTGGGTTTTTTTGTTGTTTTTGTTGGGGGGTCTTTATTACAGTATGTGACATACTGGCTTTTAAGTGATCCTCTTATCTTACGGGGATGTTTCCTTTGACTGGAGGTAAATCAGAGAGGTTTTAATGGTCATTTAACCTGATGTTTCTTTTCAACTGTTTTCCCAAAAAAGCATTTCAACTTTAAATCTAACAGTAAAAGAGAAATACTTCAAATGCACAACGATTTTTACCTTAATATAAGAACACATATGGCAACAAGTGTGTAGGCAAAGAGCGTTCCAGTCGACATCATGTCAACCAGCGCCTTTAAGTCAAACAATAATGCCATGACAGCTGCAAAGACATAATTTACAACAGATTACATGATTATTTATAAGTAAATCACATCTAAATAAATCACTGTTTCATATGATGTTATTTTTAGGCAAATTAAGTTTAAAAAGTACTGTCACTATTTTTATTTCAGTTTTTATATCAATAAGGTAAAAAAAAAAAAAGAAAAGAAAAAAAAAGAACAATTAGTTTTTACAAAATCTAAAAGAGAAAAAAAGGCCTTAAAATATTGGGATATTTACCTGCTACAATTCCAGATGCAAGTGTAGCAATGACCGGACTTTGTCTGGAGCTCAATTTACAAAGAGGTTTGAAGAGAAGTCCATCTCTTGCCATGGCAAAGAGAACGCGGGGCATCGGAAACATTGATCCCAACAGGCTGGATTACAAAAAACACCTACATAAACATCATTTAAATTATTTAATAGATGTTAAGCAGCATTCCTGATTCCATGATTTTCTGAACTGAAATGTATAATTTGGTTTATTACTTGAACCTTGGGATTTTTACCTTGTTGAAAGTGCACAGAGGGATCCAACGGCCACTGCATACTTTGCAGGGCCCCAACCGATATATGTGAAAGCCACAGGCAGCGGGCTATTAACACTGAGCAAATAATACGGCATCATCAGAGTCAAGGCTGCAGATACACCAAAGTAAGCCAGGAAACAGATGAGAAGGGATGCCACTATGCCTAATGGGATTGACTTTTGAGGGTTCTGGACCTCCTCTCCTGAGGACACAACAACAGTACATATATTTACTTCAGAAAGTCTCAAAAAGCATTTTTCTTGTTGCTTTGTATAATTTGCATATAGATATGAGACATATTTACTAAGATGTTTCTCTGCAAATGCCTATGATGGATTATTGAATATGTTGAAAACACAACAAAGTAATATAAAAGTACAGGCCATTTAGCTTTTTACAATTTACCATTTGTTTTTGCAAAATAAGTTAAATGATTTTTTTCTAGATTTTAAGTGTCCCCTCTTATTTATTGAAATGGGGGGGGGGGATTGGGTTGGTTCTTCAACCAGTACATTTTAAAACTATTGGTCTTCCACTAAAATTCTTGAGGGCCTTTATCCTACCCAACACACCTGACTGAAATAGCTAAACTATATCACTAGCATGCAGTCACGCTATACAGAGCTCTGCTCGAGCTCATATTGGTAGCAGGTGTATATAATCAAAGTATTATAAAAAAAAAAAATGTAGTGCACAGCCCTAAATGACTGCACTTCTTAGGTCACTATTTTAAACTTTATTCCTTTAAATTTGTCTTAAATGGTCTCACAATTGCCCCTGGTTTGTGGTACCAGCTCCCATTCCTTCACTCTTCATGCTGTCAAGTGTAAAAACTCTATAATGGATAGGAAAGGACCTCTATAGTGCTTTGCTAATTTCAGCAACCTTTAACTCATAGGTCACTAAGCAACAGATAATGACAGAAAATATGATAATGGAATCCTTGACTATAGATTTCTGAAAAAGAAATTCAATAAAACCCAAATTACACAAATCTAAAATCCCCCATGTTTCATGCAGATAGAAACACACTACTTCTGTTAAAAGTTTCTGTAACTCATTGATTAATTTTATGAGTCAGTTGTTTTCCTAACCCTGTCTTAGTAATATTATTCGACCAAGCCTTTTATAACATTCCAAAGTATAGAATAAGAAATAAAAGCTGGTTTGATTTTTTGCTAATATGCAGTACTTGAGTTGAGTATCTTAAAAATCATCCCCCCATACCATCCCCTGTGACATTTTATCACTAAATGTCTAAATGTCTACTATATATTAACAGCAATGGCAACAATATTGCCCTTTCAACATTTGGCAGGCTGTGCGTTGATGAGTAGCCTGACCAAATTACGGTGGCCCAGAGGGCACATGCGATTTCATTTTCTACCTCAGCGGCGCAACCAGCAGAGCAGATGACGGTGTTCTGAACAGCATCACGGCCAAGCGGCAAAGACCACGCGATTTAAAGGGACTTAATTTTTAAGAAGGTAAAAACTAACACTTCAGGTAAGTCAAGGTAAGTAAGTCAAGAGTTAGAAGACATTACCCTTCATAAGCTTACCATTGTGTCACCAAATATGTTGAAGTCCTAAATCTGGTCTCTAGGTAAACTAGTTTGAAGCACAAATATATTTCTGTCTTTAAAGTCATGTGTCATGACACACGATTAGTCTATAGTGTACAGGCATTGCTGAACATTTAAAATCTGCATTTTGGTTGTGAATCAAACATAAAATTATTCTTTAGACCATTGCGGTTTTGCTAGGTAACAGCCAGAATCTAGAAGATGTTGGTGAGACAAGTGGAGCTGTAACCGAGAGCAGTGGAGGAAACCTGGAGGAGAAAATTGAACGTTTGAAAAATGCATTTAAATTAATCAATTTAAGACACAAAGTTATGATTATTATCTTGAAAGAACTGCCAAATGTGATTTAAATGTCTGGCCAATGGTCATAAATGAATTGAATGTTGACATCTGACTCCAAGGTCCCCTGTGTGACTTGCAGAATGCCTGTCGTCTGATCAATGGTAAATAGCTTAGCTCGACGGACCTATTAGAATAGTTTTAACTCATTCATTGCCAGCATGTAGCCTGGCTTACTTTTAATTAGCCAATAGAAGCAATACTGATTTTCTGATAAACAGTCTTTAATATAAAATTAATACTCTCAATGAATATTTGAAAGGTTAGTAAAATTGGCAGATTTTATTTAGGCTTATTTCATTATCACGCTAATTCTAATGTATTTGAAATTGTTAGCAGTTTTTTTTCAGATTTTGAAAATTGTTTCAGCTGTTTGAAATTAATCAATTGAATTTGAATAAAAAAATACTTGACTTGAAAGGATTCAGAAATTAATTTGCAATGTTTCATGAGGTTTTGTTCCAAATCTTAATAGATTCATTGCCAAAAGATTTTCCAAATTAAAATCAAAGAAATGTCCTACCATGACTCTGAAGCTGATCCCAGTGGGAAATTAGTCCCTAACTATGTAGGGGCAGTGATGGCCATGCCAATCCAGGGACTGACTGCAGTTCTACTGTAAGGTGCTTTGGTCGAGGTCAATGACCGGCATACCTGACATGTAACAATCATACCATGCATAGTGCTTTAGGTTAATAGACTATATTAATTAGGCTATGTATGCTTAAAAAAAAATCCACCATCCTCCTTCTTTTTCTTTTTTTTTTTTTTTTACACTAGACCACTGCTTGTATTATGTTGGATCAATTCTCAAAGCTGCAATATTGGTATTGTATCTGAAATTAAAAAGTTGTATTCGGACACCCCTAGTGTTTATATGTTATGCCATGAAAATTATTTGGGGATTCCTATCTCCTTAGTGCCAGTGAGGGCTCTTGTGAGGTCTCTTTTATGGTAAAGGAACTACAAATGGAAGTATTCAGGCTCTTATTCCAACCTCTTTCCTTGCTGAATTAGTCAGGTTGAACTTATCACAGTAAATACTTCAGCAGATCCCTTAAAGCTAAAGAATCCTTACCAATTAAAATATTTCAGACAAAGCCCTTGTCTATGTTATGAAGCTGAAAATGCAAATGGTTTGAACCTTCTTTCCTTACCTGTTGTTGCAATGCAGTCAAATCCTACAAAAGCATAAAAACAAGTTGCTGCTCCAGCTAATGTTCCTTCAAAGCCAAATGGGAAAAATCCCCCAGTCCCACACTGGCTTGTTTTATTTAGGAATGTGTAGTTTCTGAAAAAGGTAAAGGACTTGTCATGATTCAAGCAGCTTAAACAACACATAAAAAGCTCTAATGCAAATTTGAACCGAAGACTTCCATACTCATATGCCATTTGAAGAGTATCATCAGCAATGTACCAGTTGTTGATGTCACCCTTGAGAAAACCAGAAAGGATAACAAAGAGCAACACCAGGATGTTAATAGCCGTGAACACTTTATTCACCAGAGCGGATTCTTTAACTCCAAATGCAAGAATCCCTATAAAAGGAAAATGATAAATGTAAACACAGACAGCCTGGATACATCTTACTGATTATGTTGACGTATGAAAGTGTAGATTTCGACATTTACCTGCCAAGAGCATTATCAGGCCAGCCGCAAAGAAATCTGGGTAGTGAGCGAATCCTGGTAAATCTATTGCGGCCCCTTTGCCAAGAGAGGTGGAAATAACATTTCCAATGAGATCATCAAAGGTCCCACTCCATGCCCTGGCTACACTTGATGTTCCTTTAGCAAAGAAAATGTGAAATGTTTCAAAACTACAATTAGAAAATGCCTTTATGAAGCAAACAATACACAGTACTTGGAATAAAAATGCATAACCCTTAAAGTGAGACTCACCCCATGAAAAACATAATCTTACACACAGACTCATTTTGAAAGTTGCCTTTAACATTGTCAGTGCCTAAAAGACCCTGTGGAGCAGGGCTAAGTGTGAGGTTGAGTGGTCGGGTTAAGAGTGGGTGTGCTCAGGACATGGGAAAGTGACGGAAGGTTTACCACGATGTATTGAAGCATGGAGAGTGAGCAGAGGGATGCTGATAGTGATGCCATGGATAGATCTTTTAACATGGAGGATGTTTCATTTCCTTCATTGAAGGTTGAAGGAGACTCTGTTGAGCCTATTGGGCAAGAACTTTACCGGTTTGAGCTGCTGTCTTTTAGCTGTGATTCTGCACCGCCTGAAGCCAGTGCTGCCGAGGCGGAGGAGGAGGACAGGGTGACACATTACAAAGGTGTATATCTGAATTAGTTGCTTTTATACCCAAATGCAGGGGGGTTGATATATATGCCATTCAACCCTAAGAAAGCAGCACTGTGATGGTTTTATTACAAATACTGCGGAATGACAAAATTAAGCAACATTCTCACTGTGCAAACTTTATATAATATAAAAAAATGCACAGTAAAATTAAAAGAGTCTAAGAACTACAGTAAACAGATCAGGATGAAAAAAAAATGCCATAACCAGGAAACCTATCAGTACATAACCATAAAGCCTGAACCAAGAGGCTCGGCAAAGACCATATTAATTAGAGAAGCAGGCAGGAAGTATGTTTGAACTTAATCAGTCAACTTAACTCAATTTAATCTGGCTAAACTTGAATTTATATATATGCCAAGCTGCTAGGTGCACTTAAAAAAGAACTTGCTGTAAATGCATCATAAGGTTGTTTGTTAGAAAAAAAACAAGAAACTTTGAACACTACTTCAACACAGGCAATTCCTAAAATTTGCTAACAGTAAGAACTCTCAGTGTGGGGAAAAAATAATGGTTGTGAATGTTTTGAAAGCTTGAAAAAAATGGTTTAATCTCTCGTTACCTTTTACATTTAAAACTGATTTAGAGAAAAAGAAACAGATAAAGACGGAAAAATTTTCATTATTATATTATCTCTTACGTCAGTCACATACCAATGATATAAGAAAGGAGTAGGTTCCAGCCAGCAATGAAAGCCCATATCTCCCCTACAGTCACATAGCTGTAGAGATAAGCAGATCCCGTTTTAGGAACTCGTGCTCCAAATTCAGCATAACACAATCCTGCAAAGATGGAGGCCACAGCTGCTATCAGGAAAGAGATGACTATACTGGGACCAGCAACGGCCCTGGCCACTTCTCCCGAGAGCACATAAACACCAGCCCCCAGGGTGCTGCCGACTCCAAGAGCCACCAGGTCAAGGGTGGTGAGGCAGCGCCGAAAGTTGGACACTTCGCCCTCAGGCTCCAAAGGTTTCCTACGGGAAAGGCTCTGCAGGAACAGCAGCATCTTTGCACCCGACATCTGTTGATTCAGACATTTTGTGTTAATGGAGAGGATCTTTCAAGAAAAGACATCATCTAAAACTAATATTCTAGAATAAGAAGACAAGACAAGAAAAAAGCTTAGAGTGGCTCGATTACCCTCAGCTATCTCTGTAGTTATTCTGCTATAGGCATATGATGTTGAATGACATAAAGATCGCTTTTCATTATTCTGTTTTATTCTACTTAAATTCGGGTTGGGCCTGTTTTTAAGTGTTTAGTCCTGTTTCTTTCCTGCTCAGCTTTTACTTTAACTGACTGCATGTTTTCACTTTTATGCCATCAAAACTGACTCAGAGCTCATTTGCTCAACTGTTTACTGGACAAAGTCACTTATTTACTTTGTTTACCATTACCTTCTCTAACACAGAAAGTATTCATAGATCAGTGCTTATATTTTCCTTTTGTTTATCTGCTTCTGTCTGTCTCCTTGCACCACCTGTTGGCCTCAGCAGAAAGCCGCTCAAACTGATCATGGCTTTGCTGGATAAAATTAAGTTTCTTTCTGTGAAACCGATTTCTCTCCACTTTTGCTGCATGCATGCTCATGGTCAATGGCACAATGCAAGCAAATGACTACTGTTGCTACATGGTTATTCAGGAGAAGAAAATCCTGCTAATTCAATTACTGGATGCAATATGGTAGTTTTCCTAAGATAGAAAACTTCAAACTATTATGACTGTATTATTTGATTGAATTTTCTCTGTAAAGTGCATGTTTTGTGATTTGGCACTATATAAAAACTGAATTGAAATGAAAGTGCTAAACTAAAGGGCTATTTGACTTTTTTAGGGATGCTCATAATGATATAAATAAAAAACTAAAACAAATATATAGATCACTTAAACTTGGAATTAATTATTTTACACTTATTACAGTATTTCTAAGCACATTTTAAATTGGAAAATCCATTATACGCGAAAAACAATAAAAAAGGTTGTGTTTGGATTGCTAAAAGAAATTACGCTCTTATTCTCACCATGCTGACCTGACATGTCATTTAAAGTCGTGGGACATTTTCGGGTGGCAAGGGAAGAAGGATAGGGTCCACCTTCTTGGAACGGCTTTCAAATTATACATGTTCAATGACTTAATTAGTTAAACAGACTCAACATCATTTTGTTGTTAAGAGCCACTCTTGCCCCCATACATATTTAAATATACCTCCCATTCAGCTCAAATTTTACTTTGTTTCAAACTTCTCTTTCTACTTTGGAGCATTTTAAAATCTTGTAGTATTAAAATATGTATATTAGGACCTCCTCATACTAGTTGGCTCTTTGGGTATAGGATTTCCTTTTGGGTAGATTTTACATAGTATTCATAGTATTTTATATAAATATCTAAATATATAGATATATATCATAAATGTAGTTGCGTAAAATATAAACACACCAACATTTAGATCTAGAGAGAGGGAGATTCTTACCTTTTCAGCTGTATCTTGCCGAGTGTGACTGAGTTTTGATCCGGTCAAGTCCTCACCATGTGTGAGGATAAATTCATCTGCTGTGAAGTCTCAACTGCCCATTTTTAACACACTATGCTACATTTCAGACTTATGTGCCATTTCTTGGAAAAAAAGGACAGGATCTGAAGCATTCCTTCTAGATAACAAGCAATAAGAAACACTTTATAAGGAAGAAAACAGTTTGTGAATAGTAAAATGTAAAATTTTCTCTGTTTAACTCATTCCCTGGGTGTGTTTTTATTGATTTTATTTTGGTTGTGGTGTTGTTTTGACTTAATATTTCCAGTTATTTTTCAGGAAAGGTTTGTGAGAAATTTGTTATTTACAAATGCATTTGTTATTAATTGCCTGTATTACATTTTAATAATTGTAAATTTATAAAATTATACGGTTTTTTTTTTAGCTATACAGAGAAATTTGCTGTTTAAACTGTAGTTCTCTGTGCTTGTTGGACACTGAGCTGGTTTGGAACACAGATGAGTCAACATGTTGTAAAATGACATTTTCTTCACTGGGTACGTCTGCTCAGCAACAAATTGTAGACTGGTTCATCAGAGCAGAACAGAGGGAGTGGGCACATTGTTTGAGGAACATTGTGGTACAATCCAGTGCATCCATGGGTTCCTTTAACCATGGCACATGTTTAGTTACAATAGGAAACTGATTTTAAAGTTGATCATTTGAAGTGAAACACAAGCAGAAGCAATCACCAAAAATATTTTGTTTGTAAGAATAATTTCTCTCAAGAGATTTGTGTCTTTTTATGTTTTTTTTTTTTTTTGTTTGCTGCATTTATTACAGCTCTTTTAGAACTTTCTTTTTTAATGCCCTGAAATTAAAATACTTCAGTCTTTTAACCTTATTATTAAAGAAAACATTTATGTAGATTTTCTTTGTGTATAAAAAATGTCATGTCTTTAGGTATTTGGGTTTTTTTTCTATAAAAACAATGTCATTACTATTTTTAACCGATCACAGTTTCCAGTAAATTTAGTTCCTAATATAATTTTCCTGTATTATAATAATCATTGAACTTTATTGATCTTACTTTGGAATAATTTACTTCTGCATTTAACCCATCCCCTTGCCAAGCAGCGGCCATTGTGCGGCGTCCAGGGAGCAGTCTGGGGATAACGGTCTTGCTCAGAGATCACGAGTGGCAGTCTGTGGGAGTGGGGCTGGAACTCAGAACCTCAGGATTCCAAGCTCTATGCCCTAACCACTAGGTCTAAGACACCCTTGTTTTCAAAAAAACAAGGTTGTGCAATCAAATACTAATTCCTGGATCATGTAACTAAATTAGACGGAAAAGAAAACATAGAATCCTGAAAATCACTCTTTTTTACAGTAGAATGCCATAGCTATTGATGCAAGAACTATTATGGTTTGGTTATTTTGATTATTATTGAGAATACTAAAGAAAATGGCCAAGTGTCTGCATTTTATTAAACTCTTAAAAGCTATATCATTTTATATATATTTTAAAAACGAATATACCTTTAGTTGTACGGAATATTAAAACCCACAAGAAATTGTAGAAAACAAGGGCATTTTAACAATTTCGTCCATGAGTCTAAATATACTAGTCTAAATTTCCTCATCATGGGACCAATTTCTAGACCTCAATTTCTAGTACTTGCATTATTATGATGGTGTATACAGGTCTTACTTGATAATCAGTCGCCCAGCTTCAGCCTACCCAAAATACTGCTTCCAGAATCTGAACAAACACCAGAAGAAATCTTCTTATATCAGTTGTTTAACTGCTGCAGCTCCCTGTTTGTATTAAAATATCTAAAATCTCTGTCAATACGGAACTGAAAGATCTTAGGCCTAAACAGGTTTCTGAGTTGCTGGTCAGGTATTCATGCCACGTAGTTCCCTGATCTGATCTGAGGCGTGTTTTGTCAGCATTCCCAGGACATGAACTAAACAAGAGGTATACTGCATTTAGTTTCTATGTGCCTTGGATCTTGTACAGCTTGAGAGCCTGAGATGTGCAGATACTGTTAGTCCCTTAGGACTAAAAAAAGTATGTTTACCGACTAATCTTTTTATTTTACTTTCTTAAATGTCATTACTTTTATATATATTTATTTATTTAAGTGATAAAGTCCCTTTACTAGTTTGCGATTTTTTCCCCCCTGTAAAGTGGGTTTGATTATCATGAGTATAATGTGCTACACAAATAAACTTACCTTGTCATACTGAAACTTTTTTTATTTTTTTTATTTTATTGTGTCCTTTTTTGCCAATATAGGTCTGGGAATCGATGTCCCAGAACTAGATGATACCCCAACAGATTTGTTTTCACAAGTAGACCATTATGGCTGTTGCTATAAGGTTCCGCTTGTATATGAAACTTTATTGAAAATTATTTAGGCAGTAAAATCCTATACAATGGACATAGAGATGAAAAGATATATGAGGAAGAAAGAATAGATAAAAACTAGCAGGAGAGAGAAATAGAGACTAGAAAGAATGCATAAAAAGAGTGAAAATAAAACAAAGCAGCAAAAATAGATAACACAGAAGATAATAAGTAACTCTGAAAAGTCTGCTTCCACACCTGTATGAGATGAGAGGAACAGTAAATAGAGAATATAACAACAGCAAAAAGTAGACAACAGACAACCTAAATGAACATCCAAAAAGCTTCAAGAACAGCAGGTAGCCCTTAGAAATTCATGTGGTGGAAAGCAAAACCTACAGTAATTACACAATATTATTCAGAGTGGTATGTATCCTTATCTCTATCTTTAGTATATTTCGTGTATCTGTGAACACCTAAAACCAAACTCCTGTGGCAATCACTGCAAAAAATGTAAATCTAAGCCATTTTTTTTTTATATCTAAGTACATTTTTCTTGAATTGAGCAGGTAAGTGGCACACTTTGCCAATGGAATAAGAATATGAAACAAACAACGCAATTCTCTTATTTCAACTGCATAATATCTAATTATCTTATTTTATCGGTAAACATGCTAATATCACTGGCATGTTTTCCTACTCAAATTAAGGTTAAGTACGATTTTTATTTTCAGAAAATTTTTGCAGTAGCCTATGTATACATGGGCATGCACATGTGTAAAGGATTTAAAAAATCTTCTTCAGAAGAAAAAATTAATAGCAGGTGTGGGTGACCCCAGACTCGCCCTACAGAGCCCAGGATTGATGAAGAGGTGATTCTGGTCACAGACATCTAAAGGCACCTCATATCACATCCATACATAGGTATGGCCACACCCACCACAGAAGGGCAGATGAGAGCACCCAGAGCTTAGTCACCAAGGAGCCAAACCCAAAAGGGGCCCAGTCCCTGCAGAGCATGACCCCATAGCCCACAGTGCCGAGGTCCCACTGGGCTGCAGCGAGCCAATGGGTTCGGGGCTCGCCGGGGTGTAACGTGGAATATTTTAAAAAGCCCTCCCTGTTTTCCTTAACCTTGTAAAACACTGTCAAAAGGGGTTTCTATGTAGTTTCAGTATTAAGGTTGTGAACAATCGTGCCACCTGAGATTTTATTAAAAACATATGTTTCATTTACATTAGATTTTGTATCTGTTAATACATGTATTAAGGTTTTTGTACTTTGATGTGTTATTGTTCCTGTGTAAAAAATGTAACTTTATTTCAAACCTATATATTTTTCTGCATCTATATTTTAACCTATATGTATAATGTTCCCTTTTTTGTAATGTTCCTAAATATATTTATATATGACAGCAGCGTCTACATTAAAAGTAAATGAACACTTCACATGGTGACCAGTTTGAGGGGGATTTAACCATGAGCAGACTTCATTAGCTGAAGGAAATGGACAATCCTTCTCTCTGTTAATGATTTATCCAACAGAAGGAGGTTTGGATGGCAGCAGCATCGCCTTTTGAATTCACTCAGCATCCTGGATATTTCAGATAAAGTGGTTGAGGTCTGGGAAAAGCTGAAGACGGACTGACTGACTCAAGGTTTATCAATGGTAAAGGAGTTCAGATGGTAAGTTTTCTCCTTAAAATTGATGCTTATGTTTTTGTGTCTAGGGATTATTTAAAAAGTAGGCAAAGAAAAAGCAGGCAAAGAAAATGTTTGCTCTTCATATTTTCTCAGTTTTATATATATTCAGTGATTGATAGTAAGGATTATAACACAGATAGATCCAGAGTATATGGTGAATTGGTTATTTTTGCTCATTGAGAAAGAATAAACATGTTTTGTGTTTTATCTATAGCTTAACATTAAAAATAGGATATTATTAAAAATACAAACAACTAACTTCGAATCAACATTTGTTTACACAGCTCATAAAAAGCACATCTACCTTTCTATACTTCAAAAAAAAAAAAGAAAGAAAGAAAAGAAAGTGGGAGTGACTTCATTATCAGAGCTCTGCTCCAGCATTTTTCCAGCAGTATTAACTTCTTTTGGAGGAGCGGCCATGAATTTTCTCCATGGTGACTGCAGTCCACTGGCCACAGCTTTTAGCTCAGAGGTTTTTGCAGGAAGGAGGTCGTTATGGTGTGACTCAGTCCTTAGATGATGGCTGAAAACGGAAACGTTTAGTTTTAAAACATTTTAGTTAAGGACAAACAGAAACTTGTGTCATTGTTGAGGGAATGCCTAATCAGCTCATGAGATACAATAGTTGGCCATGTTATGCGGCTGAGAGTCAAAATGGCTTCTGGTAGTGTTCTCTGTTGTATAAAGAGAACTGATCCAAGCATCTTGGAAATATTATGGAGTAAAAATATATGTCAATTCAAAATTAATCCTATAAATTATCAAGTATTTACTTGTAATATAATTACATACCATTTAACTGTAAAGGAAAAGTCAATTTTCACTTTTTTCTTGCTTCTCTTGCAGGTAAAGTTTTTCAAAGTTGCAAACATGAAAAACCTAAATCAGTGCGCTGAGGGGACTGAAGAAAGAAGAGCAAAATAATAGCTTGATGCTGGCAAGTCAATGAGAACAACCCTACCCCACTGAAGATGAGGCTTTTTCTTTATTACCTGATAGTGATGGGGTCCAGTTATGTGATTTCAACATATGGACCCCACCAGAGAGCGCAAATGACTGGAGACATTTTACTTGGAGGACTTTTCCCCATACACTTTGGTGTCGCATCCAAAGACCAAGACCTGGCAGCTCGACCACAATCTACACAATGTGTTAGGTAAGATTTCAGCCGTTTATAACTAAAACACAGACCGAGTAATAAAATATAAGACTCAAAAAACTTAGTCTTAAAAAACTGGGCTTTATACATAAGCATATATCTTACATATAAATCTAAAAAAGTTAAGAAATACAAAAATTAACCTTTGCATTACGTTAACATTATTATTACATTAACATTACATTACATAAATATTACTATTACATTAATTAATGTATTGTAAATGCATGAATTACAACTTCACAGAGAACAGCATTTTAAAGAATAGTCTTAATGGTGTTCAATAGTATTCAAACCTCTGTCTGTTTTTACAAAATAATGCATGGTCTGTCATCTCCTCCACTTAGTTAGTTTGTAAAGATCAGGAACACACTGACCGTAACACGAGGGTCAGCCAGAGAAGAATGTGTTGTTCCTCTGCGCAATAGTGCTTTCCGTCAAAGAGCCTTTGCAGTCACAGCAGTGATACTCTGTCCCTCAGAACATCAGAGAACTTACAAAATACAATCTTTTCAAAAAGCATCTAAAAAAACTGTGTATACATGGCAATATATATATATATATATATATATATATATATATATATATATATATATATATATATATATATATATATATATATATACATATATAGTGTAATTGTTTAGGTAACATTTTCAGATCCGACCAGGGACAACAGATGTAAAATTGCCTGCTTTTTAATGTACACTATCCCTGTCAAATAAATAAATAAATATAGTAAAATAAATAAAAACGTGTGTTATACACTCCCTGTATTTTTTATTTCATGCAATGTAATAATATTCTAACTTGTTTTACATGCAAAGAATTATTTGAAAAGGTTGCATGCCAGATCTCATCTTCAAAAAAAGACCAACTTCTCTATCCTCCTGCACCCCCATTGCCATTGTTTGACAACTGATTTATTGAGTGGTTAAAATAATGCAGCGGAAAACAGACACGCCTGCAAAGCCAATAAGTCAGAACATAGTGAGCAGCAAAGTGCAGGTGTTCTACAAATACAAAGACACATAGCAAAAGACAAAGCCTGCTTTATAAACATGTAAATTATGCTAACAGCCAAAAGCACATGCAAAGGGCAAATGCTGCAAGTACAAAACAGCTGCATTTTAATAAAAGGTGCAAACTAATTCAATGCGTTTGTGTCTTTTTCTTTTAGCATTATTTATCTGTACACAGCAGTTTTTGTATTTGCAGTGTGTTAGTAATTTGCTAATCTCTATTTTTATAGGACTGCAGCCTTTTTATTCTAGCATTTTTTTTCCTTTGCATGTGCTCTGTGTCTTTCTGTGTTGCTATTTTTTTTATTTTTTGTTTGCTAGTCTAAACTTTGTTAGCTAAACTCACGTTTTTCTTTGCAGTACTTTTTAAATTTTCTGGATGTCTAGATGTTGGTCTTACATATTTAATAAACCCAATTTATTCAAATATACAGTACATCATGGTTTGATGTCAGTTTTATAATTAAGCCTAAAACTATTCAAATCCCTGGTAGGTTTAGATTTGTTCTTTTTTACATTCACTGATAATGTTTTTGTTTTGTTTTAAAATAAATGTATAGAGCTGGGTATCAATAAAAATGTTTGATACAAGTACCAATACTGATACCTTCATTTCAATAACGTAAATGTTTAGTCCGATATTGGTTTCTGAACGATACTTTTTTTGATAACGGCTTCAAAATATAAATTCTAACAAAAAGAAAATTACATTACATAATAAAGTAAAAATCTTGACTTTTATTTTTCATTCAGATTTTACAATTCTAAGCACTTCTTACATAAAAATTATTTTCAGTGTAAAATAACAGTTGCAAGTCCGAAGCATTTCGGCTTGTACCATAAATGAGCTGAAGTTCAGTACCCTACCCTTGAAATGTATACTGTAATCTTAAAATCATAAAATATGTTAAATTACCTTAGAAATACTATAGTTTTCGCTTTAAGATGGTGGTGCTGGTGCCATCAGTAACTTTAGCCTCTTTATGATTGTATTTGTGTTTTGATCCATAATTTAGAGGCTTCAAGCCTAATTAGTAGAGAAGGGCCAAATTTCTGGAACTGTGACAAAACCCTAGATTTTTTAACTCCCAATGAATTAGAGAGGCTCTAAAATCGACCCTCTGCTCATACTGCAGACCACTGACTTCCTCATGACAGGCCACAGGTGGTGAGAACTGGAACATTTACATCTGCTCTGCTGATCCAAAACTATGGCAACCAACAGGGTTGTGTCCTTAACCCTGCACTCTCTGTACACTTAACTGCTCTAAGATACACATTGTTAACATGCCTGTGAAGTTTCCAAACAACACCACTGATGAGATACACTTCACAGAAGAGGTCTGCAATCTGAACTAAGGATGTTCTGGGAAAAACCTTACATTATCTTGTAAGGAGGAGTTCTTAGTGGATTATATGACATCTAGGAAGAGAGAGGATAGTGTGATATGTGTGCACCACAGCAGGGGAAACAAAAAAGGACTTAGTCCAAGTGGGCCTCACAGTACAGGGAATTGTGGGATTCCATCCAGATCTGGACTTAATTTCTGCTGCACAAATTAAGGAAAGACAAGCAACCAAGGGAACATTCTTGCATTTTGTCACACTTCAACCAGTAAGATTGTTCAGCTGCATACAAAAATAGCTTAGTTCTCACACAGACACACACAAAGATAATCACACATTGGCACATCCCAGTTCAGACTGGACTGGCACTACCTGCAATCTATGAGCCTTTTATATCTTCTACAACTCTTTCTAGTTTTCTTCTAAGAGTTTCTCCTTTATTTTTTTTCCCTAAGCATTTAATAGTTTTTATTTAAGATTGTAAATCTTTCTTAATAATCAGGGAAAATTCTTGATTGGCTTTATAGAAACCCTTTTAAATGCTGAGCAGTTTTTTCGACTGGTATCTTTCCACCTTTATTTTGACCATATCTTCAATTGATGAGAAAGTCTCTGAGGTTGGAAGGACTCCTGGCCATCACCTTAATCAAATTCTTAGTTTCTTACATAAAATCTCTTACACAAATTCTCTGACAAGAATTACTTCCAGTCAGAAGCATAGTATAAATATGTAGTGAAACGTAAAGTATTGCTTAATAACTTAAACCCCCAGGGTTATGGATTTTTTTTTTTACACCCTGCAGCTGGTTACAAACTGAAACCTGGTAAAAATGGAATGTTTTGCCTTTAATTTAAATAATCTTTTCACTGAAAAATAGTCAGGCACAATATGATTAAAACTGCAAAACTGTGACTGAAAACCAAAAAAAATGGCAAAGGGTCATGTGAATGTGCTGCATATAAGTTTACTCAAACTATTCTGAACACTGAACTTTTTTGTACTCATCTTGTTTAATTTTACAGGTTCAATTTCAGAGGTTTCCGTTGGATGCAGGCAATGATATTTGCCATTGAAGAGATTAACAACAGCAGTGATTTATTGCAAAACATCACCCTGGGCTACAGGATCTTTGATACATGCAACACTGTGTCCAAAGCCTTGGAGGCAACTCTCAGTTTTGTGGCTCAAAACAAGATTGATTCCCTAAATTTAGATGAGTTTTGCAACTGCACTGATCATATCCCATCAACCATTGCAGTTGTTGGGGCTGCTGGATCTGCGGTCTCCACAGCAGTTGCAAACCTCCTAGGACTCTTTTATATCCCACAGGTCAGTATCTGATTGGTAGATTTTTATCTGTATTTATTGGACAAAAATATCCTTGAGGTTAAATGAAAGAAAATCAAAGCAGAATTAATGAATCAGACATGGCCTAGAAAATATAAACCTAACTAACAGTTAAAATCCTTCTGGTTTCAGATCAGCTATGCTTCTTCCAGTCGACTCCTGAGCAACAAGAACCAGTATAAATCTTTCATGAGAACCATTCCAACAGATGAATACCAGGCCACAGCCATGGCAGACATCATAGAGCACTTCCAGTGGAACTGGGTGATTGCTGTTGCTTCGGATGATGACTACGGGCGGCCAGGAATTGAAAAGTTTGAAAAGGAAATAGAAGAGAGGGACATTTGCATTCACCTGAATGAACTTATTTCACAGTACTTTGAATATCACGAGATCCGAGCTCTGGCGGACAGGATTGAAAACTCCACAGCTAAAGTAATTGTTGTTTTTGCTGGCGGCCCAGACATTGAGCCTTTAATCAAAGAGATGGTCAGGAGAAACATCACAGATCGCACCTGGCTAGCCAGTGAAGCATGGGCAAGCTCCTCTCTTATTGCTAAACCCGAATATCTAGATGTTGTAGGAGGAACAATTGGTTTTGCTTTAAGAGCTGGACATATACCTGGCTTTAGAGAGTTCTTACAGCGGGTCCAGCCTAAGAAAGACAGTCATAATGAATTTGTCCGAGAATTTTGGGAGGAAACCTTTAACTGTTACCTGGAAGATAGTCCAAGAGTTCAGGAAAGTGAGAATGGCAGCACTAGTTTCAGACCTTTGTGCACTGGTGAGGAAGATATCACAAGTGTTGAGACCCCATATTTGGACTACACACACCTTCGCATTTCCTATAATGCATATGTAGCAGTTTATTCCATTGCACATGCCTTACAGGACATATTTACTTGCACACCTGGACATGGACTTTTTGCCAACAATTCATGTGCAGACATAAAGAAAATTGAAGCATGGCAGGTAAAATTTCTTTCTGAATGAAAACAGTTTAACAAAAACTCTCTGGAGAAGTTTGAGTGATTCATCCCTGTCGGTCTCTGTTATAGGTATTGAAGCAGCTCAGACATCTGAACTACACAAACAGCATGGGTGAAAAAATCCACTTTGATGAAAATGCAGACCTGGTAGCAAACTATACCATTATAAACTGGCAGAGATCTGCTGAAGATGGCTCAGTAATGTTCGAGGAAGTTGGATACTACAATATCCATGCGAAGAAAGGAGCCAAACTGTCAATTGACAAAACAAGGATTCTTTGGAATGGATACAGCTTAGAGGTGAGTCCATTTCAGATTCAGATACTGTACTGTACTCTAACATCTTACTGTGGACTTTGCCAGGGTTGGTTCTTGTTTCCAAGCCTTTTTGTGGTATTCATTTTTTCCCCAGCTTTTTATTGTCATTACACTGTTACAAGTACAGAGCAATGAAACAAACTCTCTGCATTTCGCCCATCCCCTTGGGGAGCAGTGGGATGCCATTGTGCAGCACCCGGAAGGCAGTCTAGGGTTAAGGGTCTTGCTCAGGGACCCAGAGTTGCAGTCTGTGGGAGTGGGGCTTGAACTCGGAGCCTCAGGATTCCAAGCTCTATGCCCTAACCACTAGGCCCCCACTCCCGCACGGACATGAACATTCATGGACAGGATCTCAAGGTGTTGCCATTTTGCAGCTTTGCTTTGTACAAATGATGTGGTTCTGTCGACTTCTTTAAGTTATGAGCTAAATGTGGATGCTGTTCTGATCTGCTGTGGTGAAGAAAGACCTTAATCAAAGAACAAATACTTTGATTTATTGAGATGTCTATTCTGACCCTTGGTTATAAGATATAGATCATGATCAGTGAGATTCATTATACATGTAACTGAACTAAGCTTTACTACATGGTTTCCTTTTTTCACGAATAGATAAACACTTTATTTGTGCATTTTTTCAAGGCGTGATGGTTTTATATGCCAGATGACTATTAGAATTGTCAGAAATTAGATCAAAGTTATCTAAATCTGTTTTGTTTAAAATAAATAATCAGTTTAGGAGAAAATATATTCTTCAGAATACAGAGAAGAACATTTGAAAAGGTACATGAGAATAGACAGTCTGCACCAAATGTGTCTGACCTTGAGAGATTAGAGTTCTTGGAGTTAACAAATTAAGCTGCTTAAAATTTAGGGAGCAGTGGTTTTACTTAGCCAGAAGATCAGCCACAAAAACTGCTTCAACCAAAAACAAGGATCACTTCTAATTTACTACAACATAACTGAAATAAACATATTTGATTTAAATGTATTGAATGCACCTCAGTCAACCTGAGCTTATTTTGACGGTAAACAGTGTGAGCTCTCTATTCTATGCAGTAAACATTAATACTTCCACTCAGCAAATGTGGGGGGCAACATACAAAAACAAACAATATCAAATGTGTTGAGGGTGATTCGGCAGATTTGTTTTTTATTGATATATCATGCATTCTCTTTTATCCTCACATTTGGCAGCTGTCCATTTGACTCACACATCATAAAACACCATGGCTCTGGATATTTTCCAAAATCTGTATAGTTTCTGGAAAAAAAATGGTATCTAATGAAAATATGCTGGTGAAGATTCTCAGTCATCCAGGTCATAGTCATTCCATAGTCATTCCAAAGACTTTGTTTTGAAGTTTGAAGACGTTTCGCTTCCCATCCAGAAATCTTTTTCAATTAAAAATTCCAGAAATAGCTTTGAGTTTGAGGCTTATAGAGTGGACAAAAGAGACAGCCTTCTTTTGGCTTAGAAAACCTGCAAATTGAAAAGGACAAATAGGTCCGTCCCTGAGGGATGGGCAGTTGCTTGTGTTCTTTGTTAGTCTGCAAAACCCGATGCTGGTCTAGGACTCTGAAAGGAGTCATAGACTTCTATAAAGCCTTGAACTCTGTGCTATTTCTGACATTTTGAATTAAAAAGGTTTCCAGGATGGGAAGCCAAACGTCCTCAAACTTGGAAACGAAGTCCAGTGGATTGTTTTTTTTTTTTTAAAGTTTTTTGGAATATCTAATGAAAAAATTGTAACACTAAAGCTTGCTGCATTGGTGGGGCTAGTTTTAGGAGATCCTGACCTTTACTAATTGTGCGCGGTTTTCCTAAGAGATTTTCAGCATTCATTTCCCTTTGCTCTCCGTCTTTAACTAAAAATTCTAGATTTAAAAAACAGAAACCAAACAAAGTCAGACAGATATGGAATAAGCAATGTAAGCATTTCTGTTTTATAAAGTATTTTTCATAATTTCAGTTTGGTTCTCCAAAAGGATATGAAGAAGGAGATCCCTGTTTATTTATTTCACTCTTTGTTAACATCACTTTCAAACTGAGTAGATTGTGTACAATGAGATTAGGAGAGCAAAATAAACATTATCAGAAAAACTTTAGGAAGAAAGAAAGAAATCTATTTTAAAATATTTCATACTGTTCATATTAAACGGTTATTGGATATAAGAACCAACAGGTTTATTTAATAACATTTGAGATCATTTGCTTTTATTACTTCCTCGCTCACAAATATTAACAAAGGCCTAGTCATTGTGGATGAGGAAGTGTGTCCAAAGGTTTGGTTTCAGCCACACTGCTGCTATTAATTATCTTTCCTTTTCATACTTGTTGATTTTTTACAGGTGCCATTCTCAAACTGCAGTGAGGACTGTGAGCCTGGCACAAGAAAGGGAATCATTGACAGCATGCCTACATGCTGCTTTGAATGCACTGAGTGTTCAGACGGAGAGTTCAGTAATCACAGAGGTAGGCCTACATTAAAGCAACGCCCATGATAGTAATCCTTTTAACTATTATAGGTTTTAACTAAGTTTGTGTTATTTTGTTTACACAGATGCCAGTGTCTGCACCAAATGCCCAAACAATTCCTGGTCCAATGGGAACCATACTTTCTGTTTCCTGAAAGAAATAGAGTATCTCTCTTGGACAGAACCTTTTGGGATAGCTTTAGCCATATGTGCTGTGGTTGGCATCATCCTGACAGCCTTTGTGATGGGAGTCTTTATCAGATTTCGCAATACCCCGATAGTAAAGGCCACCAACCGTGAACTATCCTACGTTCTCCTGTTTTCACTTATCTGCTGCTTCTCCAGCTCTTTAGTTTTCATCGGTGAACCACAGGATTGGACATGTCGCTTACGGCAACCAGCCTTCGGGATTAGCTTTGTTCTCTGCATCTCCTGCATTCTTGTGAAAACTAACCGAGTGCTTTTGGTATTTGAGGCAAAAATCCCCACAAGTCTCCATCGTAAATGGTGGGGACTGAATCTACAGTTTCTTTTGGTGTTTTTGTGCACATTTGTCCAAGTGATGATTTGCGTTGTCTGGCTTTACAATGCCCCCCCTTCGAGCTACAGGAACCATGACATTGATGAAATTATTTTCATCACATGCAATGAAGGTTCAGTGATGGCTCTAGGGTTTCTCATTGGCTACACATGTCTCTTGGCAGCCATTTGTTTCTTTTTTGCATTTAAATCCAGGAAACTTCCAGAAAATTTTACAGAAGCCAAGTTCATTACCTTTAGCATGCTCATATTCTTCATCGTTTGGATTTCTTTTATCCCTGCCTACTTTAGTACCTACGGCAAATTTGTGTCTGCCGTGGAGGTTATTGCTATTCTAGCATCCAGCTTTGGGCTGCTGGCTTGCATTTTCTTTAACAAGGTGTACATCATTCTCTTCAAACCATCCAGGAACACCATAGAGGAGGTACGATGCAGCACTGCGGCACATGCCTTTAAGGTGGCTGCCAAAGCCACGCTAAAACAAAGCACGGCTTCAAGGAAGAAGTCGGGCAGCATTGGTGGATCATCTGCCTCAACTCCATCCTCATCCATCAGTCTGAAGACCAACGGAAATGACTGTGACACAACTTCAGGGAAACATAGACCGAGGGTGAGCTTTGGCAGTGGAACAGTTACTCTGTCCTTGAGTTTTGAAGAGTCAAGAAGGAGTTCTCTTATGTAAAGGAGATGGGCATGCATTACCTGACCCCATGACAATTTCCACAATCAGACAATCAGTCATCAACACAAATGCTAACACTGATTCTTTCTGTAAGTTATAGGTTCTAAGATGACTGTTTGTTTCTTAAGTGTACACTACAGTAGGCCCAAGAGTCAGTCCCTACGTCTGCTGATATGATCAGAATAATGCATAAATATGGCAGAAGTCAGTTCTTAACTAATCCATAAAGTCTAAATAATGACTGGTGTAAAACCCGGAGCTGTAAAAGTGAGTTAGACACTGAACAAAAAGATCTCAGTGATGACTGATTAAAGATACCACCTCTAAGATTCTTGTAGAACCACTTACAAATCATTATCAGGGTAATGCACAATTTACAGATCGTCAAACAAAAAAATTAGCTTTGGGATTTTATAAAAATACAAAAAAACTTTTATCTAAATTTCTTTACTTTTTGACAAATAAAATAAAATGTACTTAATGCAGATAAACCTAAAGTTTCCGTTAAACTCAACCTTTATGACTGTTAGTCTCCAGCTTAAGTCTGCTATACTATGTCTTTTAAGAAGTTGTTGAATATTTTGTATAAATAAATCCATTAAATCCCATCTTTAAGCTTCCTGTTTATTTAACTTGTTGTGTTGAGATATCTGTAAGAAGACTCCAAGACTTGAAGGGAAAACTTCTTTGTGTCAGGGTTCTGCCTCTGTTTGGGGAAAATAAAATTCTGGTTTGGAATTTCTATTATTTTAAATTACTCTGATGAAGTCATATAGTAATAAGTAAATAGAGTACACCCTGTGTATAACTTAATCTCTGTATAAAAACATTTGATATGTGAACTCCTCAGAGGTTTATAAGAGAACATTGATAAACAAATCAAGGAACAAAAAATGCAGATCAGGAACAAGGTAGTGAAAAAAGCTTAGGCAGGTTTAGTTTATAAAAGAATATTCCATGCTCTGAATGTCCTACATTAGTCTTTTAGATGGACAGAGTTTGGCCTACAGGAGAGTAAGGTAGCCAAAAATTGTACCCAGGAGTAATATTTCACTGAAATAGAATTAAAAATTTAAAATCTATAAATGTTGGATGTGTGTGTGTGTGTGTGCATGGATGTATTTCTCTGTGTGTCTCTGTGTTGCCCTGCAACAGACTGTAACCTGTTCAGGATGTACTGTCTCCAGCGCCAGGATAGGCACAGGCTCGACCGTGAACCTGATGGAACAAGCAGGAGAAGATGGAGGGATGGATGGGTGAAGCCACATCAAAAGTCAAAAGTCAAAAGTCAAAAAGCCTTTATTGTCATTATATTCTGTGACAGATACAATGAGATTTGGGACTTCCATAACAGCTACCGTGAAATAAAAATAAAATAAAAATATATAAAAAAAATATATAGATATATTAAAAGGAAAGGAAATGTAAACAGTTACAAAAAATATATATAAATATATTAAAGGAAATGTAAACAGTGAAAAGGAAATATCAAAATCGAATGGAAGAGACACACATTTCCAAATCTTAATTTTCAACGACATATAACTGTTGTCAATACTTACAGTTGGCAATTTTTACATGTCAGAACAATATCTACTGTTTATATTCACCTTGTCTAATATGGCACAACATTTTCAGCTGAAATACATTCATAAAATACAAGATCTGAGGGTTATGGAAGAGAGGCAGATAGAGAAAGATTAAGAAAAAAATACTATTAAGAAAGCTTAGTTTTGCACAACCCAGAGGAAACACTTGGGGGGAAGACGACAATTCAATTATATGAGGCCAAAATGCAAACTTTATGGCATACAATAAATTGCATTGTGAGGAGGTAAACTAACAGTACTCTGGGAATACCATTCAAACAGCATCACTGCCTATGGTGACCTTTCTTTAACACAGACAGGAGAACTAACCATTCTTGATAGTAAAATTAGTGAATTGTTCAAAGTTTCTTTGGAAGCTTCTCACCTTTCAACCCAACAATGAACTGAAACACACAAGGACAAATGTTCCATTGTTCTTCCACTCTACAGTTTTGCTCTTCTTCATGTTGGTCTACAATAAAAACCTCCAATAAAGTACAATAAAGTTTGTGGTAGTAGGGTGACAAAATGTGGAAAAATGTAGGAGGCATGAATACAGCGTGGATCTTTCGAGGAGTGTTCTCCTTCTTCTTCTTGGTAATCACAAGTTGCTGTTAAGAGCAAACATTGAGGGTCAGCTTCACATGTTAATGTCATTTTTCCAGTAAGCAAACAGCCATACCTTTGGAACAGAAGGAAAGAAGAAACAGATTTCCCATCATCAAATTTTAAAGTCTTTAACATTTTCCTGAAGCAATATTAAGGCCATATGAGACTCAGAAGGTAGAATGAATAAAACACCAAATGACTTTTTTTCTGAGAGATTAGCGGGTAATATAATAGAAACATATTTCAGAATGTTAGCATTTTAAATGTAATAATCTCATCAACATACATAAAAAATGCCAATGGTATAATTTAACCCTTCAGGCATGTCCAAGACTGAGCATCCAGATGTTATTGGGACATCTCTGTGTAAAAGCCTTTTTCAGGATTTGTGTCTGTGTTGTTGTTAGTTTATTTTTTTTTTATAAATACAAGACAAGAAAACAAACAACTTTTTGTCTTCTAAAACTTTTAAGTGTTGTCTGCTTATCCAGGCAAGGATTGCACTATTCTTTTTTTTTTTTTTTACATGAGAGCCATCATGAAAAAATACTATCGGAGTAATGTTGGCACTATTGTGGTTGAAGACTATGCTCTGGCATAGTTTCTTCCGATATAAGAAAAAATATTTTGGCCATAGAGGTATAAGTGGTATTGTTAAAGACTGAATGTTAAACAGTGGAAGACCATCTGAGATAGTGTTTATATATTTTCTTTGCAGTATAGATAAAACAGGATAAATCAACAAAAAGAAAAGATCAAGCTTTGTTCTTGATAGAGATAGACCAATACAAGTTTTTTTTAAGGCCCATGCCACTTATTTTTACATTAGTCCTACCATTAATATATGCTGCTGATATTTTTTGGCGCTGAATCTTGAATTAAAAAAGGCATTTTTTTTGTTAAAAACGGTCTAAATTTAAACAAAAAATATAAACTTTTAAAAAAAATAAAAAAGCAGCAATGAATAGCAACTGGAGGGAATGCAAATACATGTGCTTCACGGAGGACTACAAGCCACTGAAAAAGCTAAACACCCACTTCAAAATTAACATTTAAATCGTACAATTTGAAATCCAATTTATAGAATCTCTTTTAATGGCCCATTTTAAATTGAATTCTTAAAGAGGAACAGTAAATTGTATTTATTAATCCACAATTAAATACTGCAATTTAATATGTATTCTCAAAGCCTATTTCTAAATGGATATAAAAAAAAACAATTCATCTTATAAATACCTAATCACACAGTCAAAAGGGTTGTTCCTTTATGACTTCCTTTTATTTTTTCATCTTGCTTCTCTTTTTATTTTACCCTCTAGATTTACCTTTGGCATTACCCTTCTGGTTCCTTAGCTGCTTAACAGGCATAATTTAAAAATATATAAGATTGCTCATACTGTCCTTGCATGCGGAAGCTGACGATTTTGCCAAGTATTCAATTTTTTTGGTTGAAACATGAACCGGAAGTGCACAAAGAAACGTAAAACACGATCATCCAGAGAGTAACTTCATAAAAATAATTATTTTTCTGTTTAGAAATTACACTTTGCAATTTACGAAATACAATTTCTATGTGCACCTGCATAAGGTTGTAACATGAATCTGACAAAGAAAAATGCAATGTAACTCTTGGATAATTACTAAAACCTGATAATTTTCTAAGTAAGAAAGAGGTGTTAATTTTATTTTGAAAGATCGCCGAGCGGAAGAAGTTGTTTTAACTGATGTGGGTTTGTTTGTTCATGATAGCTGGCGATAGAAGTTGCTTGAAAGGTAAGGTACGTTATTTTAGCTTTTCACAGTCGTTTATCTAGCTCTATTCATAGAAAGGCTATTTTTTCTCCGTTTGGGGGACCCGGTGTTTGGTTTCGGTAGCTGTGTATTATCTCGCTTGAATGTTAAATTATAAATACTTTGATGCTGATGTTTAGGATGTTACATCCGCCGCAGACACAAGCAACTCTGAAGGCAAATGTGTTGTAGCTTAATTCACGACAAGCTAACCGAAGTTAGCATTTGTCTGTTAATAAAAAAAAAGAAAAGGATAGCCTACCTGAGAGGAAATAAAGCTGAATGAGGCAAAATAGGACTTTACTTTTATGAGTTCTTAACGATAGCACAAATACGGGAGATGGATCGATAGATAAACTTTATTCCGGACTCATTGTCCAATAAATACATACATAAAATAAGATAAAAATAGTTAATGATAAAAAGCACAATACAAGTACCATTATAGACAACAATACCAGTTTCTCCACAGCTTGGACTGATATCGGATTGCATTACGTGTTGTATCAGTAAGTGACAAAATAATATCGTTTCCAGATGCATTTAACCTGCAAATAAAGTTTTACATTAAGTTTCGTAAAAACTGCTTGTAGAATATTGACATTTGCTGTGACAAACATCTCACTTGCACTGGACCATTTTGGGCGTTTCAAAAGTACCCGCATAGCATCATTATAGGCCACCTGCAGCCTTTGAAGGTTGATTTTTCTATATGTAGTCCACAGGTGAGCATTGTACAGAGAGGTAAAATATGCATTAAACAGTTCCACTTGGACTTTATCAGTACATACACCGAATTTACGAGCAAGGGTTTTAGCTTGAGCATACAACAATCTACATTGTCTAGATATCATCATCGTCTGACAGATTTTCTGTGATGATGTGCCCAAGATACTTGGTTTTGTTTGTAACACTCAGCACAGTATTTGATAGCAGACAATCTGGAAATTCAGTAGATTTATCTTTCTTACTCCTACAGATCATGATCACACATTTGGATGGATTGTACTTTATGTCGTGTTCCAGACCATATTCAGAGCAGATGTTAAAGGAATAGTACACCCAAAACATGATTAGCCTTCATTTTCTACTCACCCCCATGCTGAACAACACTCTGGAGTACTTTTTTGATATCTCAAATGCATCTGGAGATCTGGGAGGCTTCTTGCTGTCTGCTGACATTCAAATAATGGAGGTCTATGGTGCCCGAGACAGAAAGGTCCATAAAAGTCCACAAAAAACGTGTCAATATTCCTCCATACTGCTCGTCCAATGTATTCCAAGTGTCCTGAGTGGGTAGCATCCAGAATTTACTCGAAACGAAGTCATTTAGAATGTTTTTAGAGCATAAACAGTAGTGTATAGGATTTCCTGAAAGCGCGCGCCTGCGCGTTCACGACGCTACGGAAGCCGGCAGACCAAACCAGATGAAAGTGCGCATTAAGTAGTTGCTGTAACCCAGCAGTACTAGGGCTAAATAATCTATAAATAAATATCTGCATGCATCAGGCGATTAAGTACCAAGTCACCAGCCACGCAACCAGTGTGACAAGCTCTCAACTTGTGTGACAGTTCATCCAGATACAAGTTAAAGAGACTAATTTTGAATGGAGCCGAGACACATTCCCCCCATTTAATCTGCAGTGTTTGCTGAGTATACCAGTACTTCAAAAAATGAACAATATACTCTGGTACTCCTTTTTGTGTCAGTTTTGTGAATAGTTTTCTGTGCTTTACCCTATCAAATGCTTTTGATGCATCCAGGAAACACATAAATACTAAAGAGTTTTGCTTATTATATTTATAAGTCTATCTTTAGAATTGATAACCTCTAAAATCCTGTCTAGCAGGATTGATTTTATAACTTTTGAAACTATGTTGGCTAGTTGCTATAGTAACTACATAGGTAAATATAATCAGCTACCTGTTTCTTTTCTTAATGTTTCTGTTTGATACGGATGAGTGCCATCAGATAAAGAAGAAAGTCAGATTTTTAAATATCTTTGTAATCATATTGTACATTGAAATGTTGATTTTTTTTTTTTTTTTTTTTTTGCTGATAGTTATGAAGAGAAAAATACAGTGATAAATGTCTTTTTTTCTAGTAAGAGTAAATATAAGGAATAATAATCCATGGATCTAGGGCTGCAACTAAATATTATTTTGCAATTGATTAATCTGTCAGTTATTTTTCGATAAATAATCGGATAGCCAAAGTTTCCTTAAATAATATTTTTTACTAAATTAAACCGAGTGAAACTGAATTGTTTCCAATTGAGGAGTTCTGGATTTTTTTTTTTTTTTTACAATTCTGATATAATTATTGCAGGGCTGCCAGCTTTTCACCAAACCTTGGGGTGAGATTTTAAAAATTGTTTGGACAGGAAACCCTGTCAGGGTTAGACATTAAATCTTCTAGAAGACTTTCAGAGGGTACTCTGTCACTCAGCCTTGGCAGTCTTGGTCCAGCTTGGTTATGATCTGCAGTCGTAGGTCAGCCGCCCTTACGCTTAGTGGGCTTGTTATTGTTATTGGAGCTTGGGGCCCAATCTCTGAGTGTTAGGATGATGATGAAATCTCCCTGCTGACCTTTTGTCCTGACTCCCCCTTGCCGCAGCATGTCAGTTGTACCTCATCAATTTCTAGTTGTGATAGGAGCTGCCATTTGCGGATGTTAGAACACTGAGCTAGGAGTTGTTCCTTTGTCAGTGTCGATGATGGATTTTGAAGCATCCATATATCCCATAATCTCTGCATGTAACTTCTCTCACTGGGGTTGTTTTTATAGTAGCATTTCATCAGGTCCAAGTTTTCTGCTCTAGTCCATGTATGTCTTGTTCCAGTAGCCCAGTTGTCATCAAGTTGCCCTGGTTCCCTAGCAACTGACGCGGACCTTGTTAACCCGGGCGACATCCGAGCCGGTATGGCTCTTGTATTTGTGGTTTCACTCATGCCTGAGGTAGGCCACTAAGCACTAAGGACCTTACCTAAGGGTCCACCTGGATGTCCATGCCGAGAGTCGAACTGTAGCACTTTGTATCTTATTTTACAAATGTAAAGTTCTTCAGAGAAATTTATTTTTTCTTTAAATGGCAAGGCAGTACATACAACTAAATGTAATAACATGATTAGTTATAAAAGATAAATTATGGTTGCTAAAGCTATTAATTCATAAATAAAACTGAGATTAAATCTTTAACCATATTAGATAGAATTAACTTCTGAATTTCAAATACAGTCTAGACATTAACTAAAAACTGTCTAAAAGCCATTTTTAGACATGTCAAAAATAAAAACAGATTTGAAATGGCCTAATCAAAGTCTCCACTTAAATCAAATGGAGATGTGATGCCAAACCACACTTATTGCCAGCTATCCAAATGTTTGATGGCAGTTCCTGCCAGGTTGTATTGGGAATATTTTTTCTTTATTGGATAAAATTTACTTCTTGTTTTATTTTGATTTTATCTGTCTTCTACTTTAAGTTGTTGATGATCTGAGTTAATTTTTTTTTTTTTAATAGAAATGCATTTTTAACATATCAATAACTTTGTCATTTTAAATTGTATTTCTTTTGGGAAAAAATACCCCTTTGAGGGGGTATTTTTTTAATGTAATTCTGATGTAGTAACCTGCTTCTTCTTTTAATTTTTTTACAGTTGTCGATGCGTCCCTGTGTTTGACTTCAGATCTGAGAATTTTCCTTCTTTTTTTTTTTTACTGAATCTTTATATATAAAGACTTCATTAAGTTCACCAGCATGGGACGACTCAACACTGATGCTCTCACCATCGGTGTCCCTCCCTGTGTTTTCCTGCATGGGATTCTCCTAAACCAGGCATAAAGGAATCTACTTTCTCTGCTACTGCGATCAGGTCGGCGGAGACATGGGTTTGTGCACAGCCGTCAAAAAGGTCTCACGACGTGGCAAATATCTTGTTCTGATTGGTCTTTTGTTGTCGGTGCTGGCTTGGATAACCACCTTTTCTGGGGAGACTGACAAAACCTTTAATGTTATCCTTGCTCCATCACAAACTATTGTTAGTGAAAACAAACTGAGGGAAAAATTAATCTCTCAGACTGCAGAAACCAGTCGTTTAAATATTTCAGCAGAAAAAGAGGAGTGTCCAGAAGAATCTCCACTGTTAGGTGAGTACCTTCCTTAGTGATTTTGATAAATGCTATTACATCTTTGCCTCACTACGTGGGTTTTTGCAATTTATTTTGGTCAGTGCTTTTTAACACCAAAGTGGTATAACATGGCTGCCAAAAGGGTTTCCATGCCTGTTAAACTGCCAGGTGTTTGACACGTAAAACAATGACGCTATTTTTATCAGATGATACAAAAGCGAAGGGTGGTTAAAAAACAACTTGTCATCAAACTAGAGCTACTCTAATATACAGTAGTGGCAGCATCACACACTGGGCCAGCTTTCCCTCAGAGGTTGCTGGGTATTGGCAGAGCTATTAAAGTTATGAACAATCGCTTGCCAATTTTGTCTCATGATGTTCCAGTTTTTTGTTGGGATTAAATATAAAAAAGATTTTATGCATTTTTTAATATAAAGTTAAGTTCAGGCATACATCCAAATCAACAAAAGGATTTAGAACAAAGTGAAAGACAAGAGCTTTAAACAATTTGTCCCAATAGAAAACTAATATGTTTAGACATTTTTTAGGTCAAAAGAAGACAAATCAAAAAGGTGTTTTTGTTTTAATAGAAGCCAGTGCAAATGTATTTTGATCACAGCACTGTCTTTTCCCCCATTACCGATTTGCTTAATGAAGGTGGAAAAAGTAAAAAAAATTTTCCTACCTGTCTCTCATGTTTTGCCATTCAGATAATTTCAGTTTTTAGTCTATTTCAATATGTCATTTAATGTCACAGTTTTGGCAAAGTTGTAAATGTATGACCTTATAATTTGATTTCTAAGTTTCCCTGATAGTTGTAAGTTTGTCTGATCTACATAAATTGAAAAGATATCTTTCCAGACTTTATCTACGGTACCTAATTTTCCAAACCTTTCGTCTTCAGTGGGAGCTTCGAAGCTGTCCTTTGAACCTTCATTGACTCTTAAGGATGTAGAGAATGAAAACAAAGAAGTGACTGAGGGAGAGTATGAGCCCTCGTATTGTAAGGCAAAGCACAGCGTAGCCATCCTCATTCCACATCGCCAGCGGGAGAAGCACCTCCTCTATCTCCTACATCACCTGCACCCATTCCTGCAACGGCAGCAGCTACACTACTCCATCTATGTCATCCATCAGGTACAATTCTGCATGTGGTTCAGTTCTAATATGAAGTTGGTTCATGTTTGCAGGGGGGGTTGGTTTGTCTGTTGTTGCACTGATGGCCTTGATTGTCACTTAAAAGTCCTCCTAATTGTTTCACTCACTGAAACTTCAAAATTGTGATATGGTAGGAAGACCAGACTTCCTCTTTTTCCCGGACATGTCCTACTTTTTGCATACCCCCCACCCCCTCAAAAAAAATAACAAAGAGTCCTCCTATTCTGGAACCCATATTTGGTCACCATAGATACAGTATGTTAGCATTGCTATATTTAGCAAATCCTTCTTTGAACTGTCCAAGATTTGGAAAACTGTCTTCTGTAAAATGCTTAGAGCAAATGAACAGCTGAGCATCAAACTTTGCAGAGATCTTCTGATAGACAAAAATAATCCATGCCTGTCGAGTCTTAGGATCCTTGGGAAGACTGAAAAATGTCCCCCTTCTCCGAGCAGCCTGGAACACTGCATTTACGCCCATGGCCCTGGGTCATTTTCAATAGAGAAACTGCCTGCTTTGTAATTCTTGTAGAAATAAACCCAACTGTAGACTAAACAGCTAAACTGGTATCTTGCATTTTAGCGACATCTATTCATATTCTTGGGTCAGTGAACCAGTGGGCTGCTCTGTCTGTTAAAGTGGGGTGTAACAAAAGTACGGGCCAGAACCAAAGAAGGCAACATCCGCGAGTTTACGTCAACTTGGGGCTTCGTTTGGATTCGCCTGTTTTATGGTGGGAGTTTGGCTTTGGAGAGAAAGGAGGTGTCGATGGAGTTTGAACTTCTCTGTACGTCCATTTCACCCACTGAACAATTGTTATTCAACTCTGACAATGTAAACGTGGTTTTGCATTCTATGACCCCTTTCATGACGACGGAGTACCATTTCATGACCACAGATTTAACCAAATTTATAGGCATAATTTTTATTCATAACATTATGATTTCCCTTGAATCCTCATTTGACCTACTTTTTTAAATTTCCCCACACTGGAATTGTCTTATAAAATCTTATAATATATAAATTAGAGTTCACTATTTTCTAGGCGCTAGTCACTATTGAGAATAAAAACCATTTTGAATAGAAATGGTTGCGGAAAAACTTTCCTCAGACTACCAAAATGTTAATTCCTCCTCCCTTCTACCGTACTTTTTCTACTTTTCTTCTATGTTCCTGTACTTTCTTGTGTCCCGTCTCTTGTTTTCCTGTCCTCATCCTTTCAATCTCACTCCTTTGCGTTCCTCTTTCTTCTATGTTCATTCTCCCATCCTCAAGTTTTTTTCCTCCCTCCTTTTGTCTTGACTGCCTTTCCTCATTTCTATCTTTGAGACTGCCAAAGTATGACTTTTTCAAAATGGAGAAATGTGTAGGAATCCACCAGATCACTTTCTAAGCATGCTTCTTACTCAGTGCTTATATTTAGTTTGGAAACGTTGAAGAAAACTAGGTCAACATCACCTGCCCAAAGGCAAATTATCTTTAAGCCCATATGTACAGTTGACACGCCATAAGCAAACAGTGTAAAAGTGAATATAGTTCCTTAAACTCATGGATGAATTTGATCTCTGTTGAGAGACAGGAAACAAAAAAAAAACTGAAAAAAATATATAAATTTGTGGTTTTATGGAAATAAGTCTTAAAAAGAAATGGAAGGGAAATATTTTCTTTTCAGTTTATAAATCTGGATGCTAAATTTTAAATGTAGCCCAAAAAGAATCTAGATCATCTTAAATTTATATTTATTTCTGCTATGTTTGATTTACATATGTGGACAAAATTGTTGCTACCTATTCTTTAATGAAAGAAAAATCCACAGTGGTCACAGAAATTACCTGAATTGGAGTAATCTGGAAAGTAATAATGAATAAAGTTCTGTGAAAAGAAACAAATAAAAAAAGTCAGAAATAGCTTTTTTTTACCGTGCTTTAACAGAATAATAGCTTATTTTTTTCTATCTGTGAACATAGAGCTACTGTGGCTTGGCATAAAGTTTGATTTTTGTCTCATCTGTCCACAGGACATTCTTCCAGGGGCTTTTCTAGAACTTGCTTCCAACAATTTTGTCCTCCTTGGTTATTTCCCATTAAGTCCACTTTGGCTCAGTCAGCATTGAATGGTGCGATCTGACAGTGATCTTCCTTGAGCTTGAAGTTCACCTTTAATCTCTTAAGAAGTTTGTCTGGGCTCTCCAAAAAATTAAAACATTGTTGTTTCCAAGTGTATAGAGTGGACCAAAAACAAAGCCTTGTTTTGGGTTAGACAAAGCCAAAACAAGGCTTTGTTTTTGGTCCAGTCTATAAAGCCTCAAACTCAACGCCATTTCTGACATTTTGAATTAAAAATGCTTCGTGGATGGGAAGCGAAACGTCATCAAGCTTGTAAACAAAGTCCAGTAGTTTTTTTTTTTTTTTTACTTTTATGGAATGACTATAACCTGGATGACTGCGAATCTTCACCAGCATATGTCTGGGCTCTATTGTTTCCATTCATATTATCCACCTCTTTGTTTTGTCATCAATTTTCGTCCTGCAGGGCGTTTGCTACAGTCCCATAGGTCTAAACATTCTGAATAATATGTGCAGCTGTTGTCACAGAAACATCAAGCTGCGTGGAGATTGTATAGTCTTTACCATTAACATGTTTAGATATAAAAAAATCCTTTAGATTAGGGATGCACGATATAATCAGCCCCCTATCGGTATCGGCCTGTATCGGCCTTAAAACTGAATATCGG